GAAATCGGAAAAGGCAAGAAAAAAGGAGATGAAGACTTTCTGATTCCAACATAGAATCATGGAAACAAACATCCTTTATCAGGAAATCAATGCACCTTCAATGTTTTTCTCATTTTTCCAGATTTTTAGGGAAAAGATAAGTTCTTTAACAGCAATGAATGTTTAACATCAAACCAAAGAAAAACAGAAATGAATAAATTAGTGTGACTGAAAGCCAGCAGAACGTCATGAAATTTGATACTTTTTTAGGCACTTATCTTACAACTGTCTGCTCTTTAAAGGCGTCTAGACACTCAGAAGTTACAGCTTCCCCAGGTTGTTGTGGGTCTGTTAATTGACTTTACTTTGTTTTATTTATTTTCCATGGCTGAAAAAGTTTTTCTTAATCTTGGTTTAATTTTTCATTTTGATGCTTCAAGGTTCAATTGTGAAGTCCAGTTGGAAATAACCTAAATGTCAGCACTTGAAATAAATATACTTATACTTATCAAAATATTCCTTTAAGATGGCTTCTCTGATGAGACGTAGGGGAAAACACAGTGTGTAGCCTGAACGTTGTGTCATTAGGACATGATAAACTAGATGAGCTGTTTGTCTAAACAGGGCAATACAAGCTCCTTATTTGACGTGTATAAAGCTGAGTGAGAGGAACATTAGCCCGCTGTCTCCTCTCCCTGTTTACTTGGTCATCTCACTGCTTAAGGCCACCCTATATGGAACCCCACACACACTGACCCACAGCCCACACAGTCAAACAGAGGGATAAAGAGAAAGATGGTGTGAAAGAGAGCATTGGCACACCTCATTAATCTTCCTGGCACTTTCCTCTCCATGGCTGTCTGTCTTTACCAGTAAGTTTACTCTTAGGTGGAGGTGAAAGTGACCGATAACCAAACAGCTGTTTTCAAATGCAAAATATACAACATCCCCCACAAGTAAGAATTTACCTGGTTTGTAATCTACTTGCTATCCTGTTTAGTTTCCATGCCCTGTGAATTGTCCTTATCTCTAAAAACGGAAACTGTCCTGTGTGGTACGATTGTGACTATTATGACATGCTGAAGAGAGCCCGTGAAAACTTCCCTGATACGTGTCACTGTCCATCCACGGCTATTGTGTAGTTCGATGACTCACTTGTACCAAGTTCTTTTCTGCCATGTCGGAACCCTTTGCGTGCAGACACAAAACAGGGAGGAAAACCTATAGTGATAGACAATTTATAAAACGTGTCACAAGTGTTTTTGTTTTGTTGGGTATGTAAAAGAAGCATTCCTGGAAGAGGTGATCAGTTATGGAGGGATAGTTTTATATATTTGATGAGAAATATTTCAGAAGAACTAAATCTTTCAGCTATAAAGCAAACAAGTATATATCTCAAAGTGTTGCACTATTTCTTAAACAAATTTGCATGCATGACCCCACCTGAGCACTGGCCTTAGTCATTAATTGTCTGCTCTCCAAAAAGAAAAAGAAAAAAACAAGAAAACACAGAGACATGACCAGACAATATTATTGTGAGGCTTCTCCTGTAGGAACACATTGTAATTGAAATACCACACCAAATAAAGACTCGTTATTCATGGCAAGCTCATGTATGCTCGTATAAACATAAACAATGACAGCAGTCAGGCGGCCTTTCCCCAGTCAGGCTCCAGTGCTGAAGGATATCAGACTTGTGAATTGTAGCAGGAGTCTGAATGACAATAAGTCTGGTAGCCCTGGAGGAGATCATTAGGGCAACAGGACTGGGCAGCGGCTGCCATGTAATGGAGTCAACAACCCCAATCACCCGGCTCAAACCTATAGCCCAGACGAGCGGGGGGAGGTGGAGCCACTGGCCTGACTTTGGCCACAGGCTGCAGGGACGATCGTCTCTGCGTGAAGTTCCACCCTTTCTCAGAGTAATGGTGACCTGCACCCTTCCTTTCTATCATATTTGACCAAAACCAGCCATGGTTCCCCTCAGTTTGCTTCATCTAGCCCATGCTCCCCCTTTTCAGGACCCTGTTGACCATCCCCACCTAAAACTGCTAGGCTCCAGTTTAATCACCTCTGGCTGTGGGTGGAGTAGGGTGGGAGGTGGAGGAGAAAACCACACATTACATCATGTATTTACTTATCCAGGGTAGCTAGCGACTGACATGGAGAGTGGAGCTGGGGGTGAAAGGTGAAGGATTCAGGAGTAAATGAGTCATGACCAAAACCAAAGGCTGGGATTTTGGGGACAAGGTTGCTCAAACACCAAAAGGTACACAACATTCTCCTGAAGACGCTAAACATATTTGAGTTTGGAGCACAAAAATCCCTAAACTGTTCACCTGTGGCTCGTGAGACAAGCTTCCAAACTAATCCTCAGACACTTCCCAGATGTCTTGAACATAACACCGTAATGTTTCCCAGAATACGGAGTAAGCACTTTGAGATTATTTGCTATTAATGACAACAATTAGGGGCTTGGGCTTTTGGTAGACTGCCAACTACTGTTTCAACCATTTTTCCCTCCTTGCAAGTGGAATTTGAGGTCTCTAAATTGCTTCCCTTTAGAAACAATGCAGTAAACACCCTCAATCTCCTCTCAGCTATCTGGGCATTGTCAACATCACCTCAGTAACTACTAGTGACATGTGCCTCAGATTGGCCTTGTAGTGCATCCAACTGCTCCACCTTAGCGAGGTGGTATGGCTGACACAGCCCAAACACACCCACAGAGGGCAATCTGTAAATTGTTCCATTTCTGTACTTCAGTGGAAGGAGGGGGTCGTTTCTTTTTGCTAAAACGGATGACTTAGAGAAGTCCAAACAAAGATAAGAAGATAGATATTGACAACAAAGAAGAGAAAATACAAATAGCGAAGGGACAAAATTACGAATGGGTGGACAGATTTCCATTCATTCACAACCCGTGCCTGTCTGTTGGAGCAGCAACGGCCTGTGCGGAGACATCAAGCACATTCCAAGAGTCAGCCCAATTATGGGCAGATGAGGGGCAGTTCTCTTTGTTTAAGAACAAAGCCAGAAGTGACACAACTGGTCTTTAAAGAGAGCTCTCACAGCCATGGCTCAGGCGAGGGGGGGGCATGGGTAGGGGAGGTGACCAGCTGGTTATAAATATCTATTTAGTCAGTTACTGGAAGGAAAATTAGCAGTTTGTTTGTCAGCCACTCATCCAGGTGGTGGGCTTAATGGTTGCAAAACTTCAGAGCCCAGAGAGAAGGGGATGACAACCTGTTTGAGTTTGACTTTCAGAAACCAGCGATTTAACGAATGCTTACATAACCTAAATAAACTCATAACAAAATCAGATTCCAAACCCAGTATTTATCCTTTTTATCCACATTAGACTTTACAGTTATTTGAAACAGACCTGCATCTACAATTAGTTTATGGGAAATATCTACATCAGAATGTGTTTTTTTCTAAAACCCATAATATACAAATCAACAAAAAGCTCAAGTCAGACAGCTGAGAATATTTAGAGTTACTCAAATTAATAGTTTCTATAAAATACATTAGTCTGTGTTTTGAATATTGAAGATATTTAAATATCTTTCAAATGGCCAACATTGTGCATGAATGGTATCTGGTTTCCTTGTTGAAAGATAACAAGGGGGTTTGCACTGGATAGACAAAAAGATGAAAATAGTGTTTCCACTCATAAGTTTTACTTGTTCAACACAGACATTGTCTCATTTATGTACAGCTTTGTGTGTTGCTGCTTCCATGTGATGCCTTCTGACGATCCAAAGGTTGTCCGGAAGCTGAAGCTGAGTCTTAGTGAGAGAATAGTTTTTTACAACCACATTGCAAGCCTATGGGGGGGGTTGATACTAAAAAGACAGAGTTTGGGTGGAGTAACGCTTTAATAATGCACATTGTGCAAGTAGTTGTTGATGGTCAGAAGTATGAAGCATTGGTCTGTAGAGGGGTGGGACGAGCTTAAAGTTAAATTCCCACTCTGCAGTAAATTAGAGCACAGAGGGGTAATGTCTGTTTATTCCAAATGCAGCTGCCTGGCCCTTCTCTCCTATCCCTCTCTGTCTCTCCCCACAGTACGGCCCCAACATCACCTGGACCAGCAATGTGCAAACACATTTTGCTCCACTAAATGCATGTTACTGTGAATACGTGCACTTGCAGAAATTATCAAAAAGGCAGATAGATACATGTGAGTGTGGTCAGAGACTCACAATGAACTTATACAGTGACAAAGATGTAAAACCCCTGTACACATGCAGTTATTTATTTAAGCTCAGTGCCACAGAGGACGTCTGGGCACTAAATTGAGCAGAGGTAAGTTCTCTGTGGCTATTTGTAACTATTTAAATACCTTGGTGAGGGATAGTGTAAATGCGCATTATTTACTCCACAATAATGACAATATATCAGTCATTGTGGGGGATGTTAAATAGGACTGAGACATTTTTGTCCATCCCAGTCATTATAAAATAGACTTACTGTGATCTCTTTTCCAAAGTAGTAAATCCACTTGGGATGTTTGAAATCGATTTTACATCATAAATAGGGATTTGCTACCCTCTAGTGCCCTATTGAGTTGTTTCACTTTATAAGCGCGCCCATGAGTCTCTTATTTACATGTTGAGACTTGTTAAATTGTTCAATTGTTTGCCACTGTAAAATACTTGTCATTTCATACATTAATATAATTACAAAGCTGCACTTTGCAAACAACTGCAAAGCTAGAGGGGTGTGATATGGGGTAAGATATGTGAGGATGAATTAATGAAATGTTTTCATTTTGCTCAGGAAATACATACAAAAAGTAGGATGTTATTGTAAATCCTGTACATATTCAAATATAAAATGTCAGAAATATTTCCATACAAAACGAATAGTTTTCACAGTACCAACTAATGGAGCACGTGAACATTAGTTACATTTAGTCTCCCCCTAGCGTACATTCAGAATATTGCCGTTTTACTGAACGGTGGAACAGGAAAGGAAAAAAAAGAAGTCATGTTCGCGCATTTTCGACGTGCGCGTTCACGAGTGTAACCTGGGATCTTTGCGTCAGCTGTCACGCATACACGCGCATACTACAGTTCTGTCTCTATGCAAGATTTGTTTGTCAACGGATGAGTCTGAAATTCTTCGGCTAGCGGGAACACTCAAAGAATAGTGACTGCAGGTTGCTTTTATCAAGCGGGACCAAAGCGACTCGGAGACAATAAAGTTGTTTGACCAAGGTTCCTGTTTCTCAGAGGGGGACGAAAAGCAGTGTACAGGTTTTCCCGTTTTATCGTTGCGGTCTTGCTAATACGCAGTCCTTGTCGTAGTTTTCGAGCCGGCTTCATTAGCTTAGCAAGCTAGTTAGCAAGTCAAGCAAAGGCTACGGTACGTTTGCGGAATTGCACTTTAAGCTTGTCTTGGTGTCTTTAATTTAGTTACTGCTCTTTTTTTGTCGTTGGTCCTTATTTTGTCGTCACCCTGATATGATATTGTTATGAATGGCGACAGTGTGTAGCGTGTCGATTATGGCTTTCTTTAAGTGATATGACAGATGAGGTGGTGCTGCTCTGATAATTATGAGCAGTTTCAGCTTTACATCAAAAACCTCTACATTCGCCTCTTCGTTCAGGAGAGAAAGTAAGAGTCCGGCAATCAGTGTTAGCACAGGCCACAACAAGGAGTGGGCATTGGGTAGCGATGTGTTTTCGTACTGTCACGAGATGAGTTTTATGGACGATTCGATGCAGGCAGGGATGTCCTCAGTCCAGCCAGGACTGGACGGACACCTGCCGCTTTTGCATGGCCGACACCAGGCTGCTGAGGACGGGCTGTTGTTTGACCTTAGCTCCCCGGAAAACTACCTCGACACCAGTCCACCGGACTACAGAGACAACGACGGGAACAACGCTGGTCCGCTGTTCGAGAAGAGGAAGAGGTCGAGGTCCAACAGCTCCAGACACAGGTTCAACGAGGTAGTCACGGAGCTCGTTCCGGAGGAAGTTCGGTGGTTCTACAAAGAGGACAAGAAAACATGGAAGCCTTTTGTTGGACACGACTCGCTTAATATCGAGCTGATGTATAGGAAGTACTGCGAGCTTAACCCGGGTTTAGTACGCTCCCAGGTTAGCGCCGGAGAGGAGGAGAGCGCCGGTGCAGGTCCCGAGAGCCCAGGGCCAAACGGAACCGGGCTAGAGACCAGGACCAACAGCGTGGACGAAGGCCGCGGATCTCTGGACACGTCCACCGTGTCCTCCGATGAAAGGGACTCGCAGAGCATTGAAGTCAACGTAGAGCCCGTGTGTGTCCGGGGAGGGCTCTACGAGGTGAACATTAAAGAGAGGGAATGCAACCCTGTTTACTGGAAGCGTAAGTAGAATTGGTCCACCCCACCACCAGACAGAAAGTGTATAAAACTGTATTTTTCCTCAGCATCAGCCACAATCCAAGTAGCTTATGTTTTCAGCTCCCAAGCCGATTAGATGTAAATCCTTAATTACTTATTCCTGTTAGTTTAATACACCATGTATGTTCCATACTTTGGAGTATGAAACCTGGCCTCAGACTGAAAATGGATTCATTCCCAATTACCTGTTCCAGTTGAATTTGAGGCTAAGCAAAGATTTAAGCAGATAAGCCCTACTTTGTTTAAAAAATATTCTATAATTGAGAAACTAATAATCGCCTGGTCTTTGGGGAATAAAACCTGAAGCCAGTCTAATGGACTTAGTTGATCTGCACTAACTAATTCATGGATATATCCTGGAAACCAAAGGGCCACTAATAAATGATGGCAGCCATTATTGAGACTAAGAAACCTGACCGCAATGAAAAGGTTCACGAGTAATTGTTTCTTTTTTTTAATGACATGCCCTATTACACTCAGACCAAACATTGATGTATTTATCTTGTTTGTTCAACAAAGGTGTGATGCATACTCAGACCCTCAATGTACTTTTCAACCTTGGCTTATACCGCTGATAGCACAGGCCCCATGCACTGCCTTTGAGGCTAATGTAAATATAGGAGTTAATTAAAAAAACTAAATCAATATTCCATAATGAGTTCAGGATGAGAGACCATTGCATGCAATCAAATTAAAGAAGCAGTAATTTCCTATATTTTTTACATGAGCAGACGATAAATAAAAGCCTGGTAAATGGATACGGCACACATTGTCTTTGTTGGCTAGCACAGTGAATTTGGTATCAGGCCATCTGAGCAGTCAAGGTTTATCTTCTCTGAGCAGACACAACCCAGCCCAACCAAAGAATGAATAATGTAAACTGGTCTGCATTATCATTGTTTTTTTTGTGTTTGTGTTCATCTTTGCGCTTGTGTTTAAGCAGTTTACTTCGAGTAACAGTACGCTGATGCTTGTCTGATGAACCAACTCCCATGCATAGAGGCTGGGTTTTTTCCACCACGCCTAATTTAAGATCTGCTATTACACTCCTGTCAACCCCCAGAGAATCAAGGCAGACTCATGTTAATAATGTCTCAAGACTGTAATCAAACTTGGCCTCACTCAGTTAAACACAGAGACTCGGTCCTCGCAGATTTGTCAGACACATTTAATGGAAATCAGTTCACTGTACATCTGAAGCTGCAGTACACTCTGAAAGGGACTGTATGGGTTTTTTTATTCATCTGATGTCAGCTTAATATGAGCATCACAAAATTAGATTTTATTTTCTTTTGCTGAAAAAAGTCAGGCTCCAAAATGTCCGTCAATTGAACAATTCAACTGAATTTTCTATACGTCACTTGCTTTCTCTTTTACAGAACAAGACCATATTCCTGTGATGAGAGGCCAGTGGTTTATCGATGGCACCTGGCTTCCGTTAGAAGAAGAGGAAAGTGACTTAATTGAGCAGGAGCACCTGAACCATTTCCGCGGTCAGCACACGCAGGACACCTTTGAGACGGATTTGGTGGTGAAGACTGTTGATAGCAAAGATGGTGAGCACCAGGGATGGGCAGGGGTGTTATTTTGTTAATTCTAGTGTAGAAGGGAAGCATTATCATTGAAATTCATTTAAGAAAACTGTGTCATAAAAGGTTAATTATGGCACTACAGCCCTGCCTGCTGTGAAAGCCACGAGAAAAAAGAGTGTGGCAGATCCCTCCATTTGTGTGTGTGTTTGTGTGTATGTAGGGTTTATCATGTCATCCATCTAGTGTAAAGCAGGTGCAGCTTGCGCATTCTGTCGCCTCTCTTTCCAATGGGGTGGCTCTAGCGAAGTGCAACGGCCACTAAATGAGAACATCGATAAGAAAGAGGTCCTTTGATTCAGCAGTCTCGTTAAGAAAGCTGATCAGTGAGATTTTCACTGGTGATGAATGTGTGGGTGTGTGAATGTGACAGAATAAATAGAACAAAACAAGATACAGAAACTGTTAGATTGTGTCAAAATGCTGTGAAACATGCAACTCCTTTAAAAAAACAAACAATTTTTTAAATCACTTTTATCATTTGACACAATCAAAGAGACTATATGAACAGTAGATGTTTAGATATTGAATTAAATGTTACTCTGATTGGCTGATTTTGAATGATACTTTAAAAGTTTTCTTTGTTAAATTACTATAACTAATGAAAAAAACAATAACTGAATGAAAACACAAATAACGAGTGAAACATCAGCGGGACAATGAACAGATTATTCATGTAACTCATACAGTAACAGGGAAGTTGAAGTTTTTATGCATTGTCTTGTGACATTTGAGAGCCCCATCGCTGCACAAGACAGGGATCACATGATATTAACTTCTCCACAGGGGGAGTTGTACTTTTGCAAGGGGGAGTGCTGTAGAATTCCATCCTCCCCGAGACATATAAGACCTTAAACTCTAATAGTTTTGTAAGTACTGATAAAGTGCCTTTTTTGGGCTGATGTCACTGTTTGCAGAACAATATTTTATCTCGAAAGTAATCGTTTAAAGCACTCAGAGACATATGGAGCCCCCCTGGAACTGCATTAGGATAAATAAATGGATCTTAACGTGAGTGCACAAAGTCCTTACATTATTGCAGTGTATGCTATCTCTCTGTGTCTCTCATACCTGCCATTAGTCTTCCATTCCCACTCTTCTTATGCCACTGTGGGAAGCTAAGCCTAAAGGTCACTGAGGCAGATAATGGTGGATACAGTAGTGGAGCATGCTGGCATAACACCATAATGTGGGACTGCTATGAGGTGCAAGAGCTAGAACACACATCAGTGTGAGATATGCTATCTTTAATTTGTGATTCATTGTTTTGGATGCACATAACGCTGATCCATTCATGGAAAACACAGTGTGTAGTCGACTCTCAGGATTGTATTCTGATAGTGCCCTGTTAACCAGCATGTGATGCTTTGAACACATTGTATGATTGATGACTAATGCGACCGCTGAAGAGTTGGAAATTGTTCCTTTTTAGCTGTCAGGTGTGATTTTACTAGGTATCTGAAATGTGTGTGATCAGGTATAAGTTAATGTCCATTATCTAAGCTTTCTAATTGCTTTCAAAAGAAATTGGTAATGGTTCACAATTGATCGTCAAAGGAAACCCTTTTATTTTATACCCCGTGGACAGTAATACATTAGGAAAAAACACACAAAGTAAGCTAAAGAATTCTTCCAGACTTCCATATACAGATTTTGGATATAATGGATACTCAAGGCACCGCCGAGCACTTATTTGGATTGGACCCATTAGTGCTACCTACAGCTCTTAGAGCAAACAAACTTACTATGCACTCAGCACTTCCCTCCTTCCTCCACAGCCTTTCACCTCTACTGGGGGTAGCACTGCTGACATTTGCACTCTGGATGTCTGTGCTAACATAGAATGATTAAGTCCAGTCTGAGACTTGTGGCTCGACGGTTTTGAATAACAAATTCTGTCCTTCTCCTGCTAGTTCAAAACATCCACCTACTTCATATTTGTTAAGTAAAGTGTACAGACCCTCTGCTATTCTTTACTTTAAAAAAAAAAAAGAATTAAATAACAATATTGATATTAATCGTACTGATCATTCTGACACTGCAATGGCTTCCAAATCATAATTTAAATATACTAACCATGTGTTAGTGAATGTAGTTTCTTGTGTTTGTTTTAAAGCTGTTTGTGACTGATTTGTTAAGTTGAATTGAAACAAAAGTATACTTTCTATCAATCATCATCCTATTTTAGCATTCAAGAGCCATATTGGGAATAATTAGCCAAATACTTGTAAGATCTTTGTTGAAGTCCATCATATCTCACGAAATGATCTTAAAAAAAGTCACACTAAGTACTATCAGAGATATAGAAATGTGTCATACAAACATTTGAAAAAAAAGTCGTAAATATCTGGAGTGATGACCTCGGGTTAGGTTATTTCTTCTGATAAAAAGGACTGTTTCTTTGTGTTGGTTGAATTAGTCACCTGATTGGCATGCCACTAGTTAGCATGTTCAACAATAGTGACAGCAAATCTGAGTGAGAGGAATGTCCATTACTCATTCTCTGTTGGTTGTTAGTTCTCTCCCGCCTGCCCCCTTTCTACCTTCCTTTTCTGTTCACATGGAGTGGATATCAGACGAGTGCTAAAACTACATGTCACAAGCGCAAACGCTGCCAAGGTACTGTAAAATGCTACGTTTTCTGTATACTTGTGTTAGCTCTTTTAGCTTGTAAACTCTCCTTGTAGATTCTAGGTTTCCGTGGGTCTAGATTTTCCTTTCTTTTGTGGTTTAAGCCTTTAAATCTCATACTAAGAACTAGACCTGGGCTCAGTTAGATAACGTGCATTCAGGCTTTCATCTCAATTATCTGTTGCAGCTTTAACTGGGCCTAGTTGCTAGAACTCCCCCTTTTGTGCTGTGACCCAGAGTTTGGCGCCACAGTTGCTGCTCTTTGAGGAAATGTGCGTTTCTCCATGCTGTAGTAGTGAGTAGACAACATGGTTCACCAGCTACGAAAGGAAAATCCCCAAAAACCAACAAATCTTGGATCTAAAAGAAGCTGATCCTCAAAAACAACAACCATGCTTTCCTCTTTTTTTCCTTTTTGTTTTACACTCCCAATTCTATTTTCCACTTCATCATGTTTCTTTTTATCTCTTTTTCTTTGCCTTTTGTCAGTATGACTGCGAATTTAATGAACCACCATCACCAGCTCACCAGTGAGCCTTATGAACAACGCTCTTTGTTGAGAACCCAGCACAACGATGAGCTACACAGAGGAGCTATTGTAGTCCTTTGCGTTCATATTCCTTAACATGTTGTGTGCATTAACTCTCGTTGAGGTCTTGTCCTATTTCTGGGCGCTCTTATTAGAGATCTGTCAGTTTCTGCATCCTCATCTTTTAGAAGGAAGTGGTCATTGACCAGAAGCCTGGTGCTTTTTTCATTGCGTTTCCTTTCCAGAGATAGAAAATAACATGTAAAGGAAGTTTTACTATAAAGTTTGGCACTCCATTCTCCTAATTCAGTGATGCTGATGCCCATTTTTGAAGAGAGCAGCTCGGTCATCTCTTTCCAACCTATTCCTTGACACACCTCTAATCTACAAATGTTCTTTTACTTTACACACCTTAAATCAAATTGACTGACTAAACTCTGGTTGAGTGCCAGCCAATTTTGATTTAAACTTTAGTGCTTCCCTCCACCATGTGTATTATAACATGTGTAGAAATACGTGTGTGTGTATATATATATATACACACACACACACTCACATATTTCTGTGCTTATGTAAATACATATAGATGCACTTTGTTTTTTTGTTTTTTTTGGGGGGGGGGTAGAATTGGATAAGTACCTCCTGTTTTGCCATCATTTCATCTAGAGGTGGATCTTTACAGTCTGAAGTGGCCTGTAAGTATTCTGCACAGCAGCATGCAAAATAGGTTTAATAAAACCCATTTTTTCCCTCATGTCCTGATTTTTAAATGTATAAGTCACATGGGGAAAAATGGCCACTTTAAACTGTTTAAGATAGATCCTGATGAGATGGTGTTAGGTTCTCTTCATAGAAAAGCTGATAGTTACCCTCTGTTGCTGGGTTAGAGTTTTCGTGTGGTGAGAAGGGGATGAGTAGGATATAAGTTTCCTTTGATGGTGAATAGTTTCATTTGACAATCAGCAAAGAGAAATGGAAATGTGTGACACAGAAGCACACATGGCCAAAGTGATTTATCTAGCAGGTCAATTCAGGTTTTTTGCACATAAGCGATGGTGAGTTATTTTCCTGTTCCCATCTCTCGTATTCACACACATTACATTTAGAGTCAATGCATATTTTCAAGGGACTAACAAGTGCTCTTATTACCAAACAGTCAGACTTGCCTTTTATCATTCTTAAGTACGACAATTCCTTAATTTATAGACAGATGCCTATAAACCTGGCTAGTATATATTATTTAATATAGTATCGTTTTAAAATGCACAACCAGCTATTAAAGATGCATGAGACTTGTGACAAGAAATACATGTGTTTAGTTGAGTTTTTTTCCATCGTATTGTTTAGAGTTTCAAGCAACCAAAACTCAGGAACAAGAACTTTATCCTGTTTTAATGGACTTTAATCCCGACTTTGGTTCAGAGCAGTACAAAAAGCCACAGATGTGCTCTGGACCACTGCCAGCTTCTTCAACAATTTCATCCAAGTGAAGTTAACTGAGCAGGGCATTATAAAGGACATACAGCCCAGCTATAAATAACTCTAACGTCGACCACTTTCATTTACTGCTCTTTGCTTTTGTAGGTGTCAAATGGTATCCCCTCAAGCCATTTCTCCGCTCTTACTTGCCTTCGTCACTGCATTAAAAACTAAAGGAAAATGCTGGAGAAAAGTAAAGCTGAAAGTGAAATGGTCGTATATAAAATCTCTTGGGTCGGATGACACATAAGCAGGACGACAAGCAAGAGCTGAAATATGTGGCGGTGTTGTGTGACGTTTTCCTCTGCAGATCAGTGCTAGACACTGCATTTGATTGTGCTGTTTGAATAGAGGATTTTCAACTTCTGCTCTTTTATCCGATTTCCAGAACTGTAATATGGTGCAATTGCTAATATTTTCTGATCATATGAAAGTTTGTTTGTCTCTCTCTTGAGCCTCTCCTACCCTTTCCCCTGACTTTCCCCTACTTTTTACCAAATGACAATCTTGCCTTTGTTAATCATTCATTCATTTACTCACTGCTTTGTCACTGCCTACCTGCAGCCATCCATTGTCTGAAGTTGAGTCGGACTCATGTGGACTGGCACAGCGTGGACGAGGTCTACCTCTACAGTGATGCAACCACTTCCAAAATTGCACGGACCGTCACTCAGAAACTTGGCTTCTCCAAAGGTCTGTAATGGCTTCTGTGCTCTTTTCCTGATGACTCCAAAAACTTGCCTGACCACCCTGTGCATGTGTGTTGGTGCCCTCCATTTACAATTACGTAGTGAAACCTGTTGTCAAAGGAGTTTACAGCCGAAACCGGGTGGCTCGATTCATTTGAATATGAGGCTCTGCTGTCATGTAACCAATATAATCATATGAAAAGTGGAATTACATTCACATTAATTCTTAGAACATGTGTTTTTGTTTCTGTGCATTGGAGTTCTGAATGTTGTTGTTAGTTTTCTCAGGCCAGCCTATCCTCTGTGAAGTTCTTTTCAGTCTGGTCACTGGCTCCCATCACCTTTCCGTTTTGCTCCTGACTGGATTAGATTAAAGGTTTTAAGTAACTCTCAGCCCTGCAGGCACATTAGAAGTCCTGCCACTTGGTATCAAGCCAAAGTCACAGCAGGACTCCCGGTCTCACCTACTGCCCTCTTTTGACTCAGGACAGCACCCCATTTACCAGAAGGCTTTTAATAGCTGAGTCACTGTCTTAGATAGACTAATTTGTTGATTCATTTTCTATACCGCTCATTCCCAGCCCCCCTCGCCTATTAACAACAGGCGTGGTGCACCCTAGACAGGTCGCCTGTTCATTGCAGGGCCACACAGGCCCACAACCACACACATACTCACATTCACTGCTAGGGTCAATTTAGAGTATCCAATGAAACTACAATGCATGTTTTTTGGACGGTGGGAGGAAGAGTACCCGGTGAGAACCCACGCAGACACAGGGAGAATATGCAAACACCTCACAGAAAGGTCCTTGTTCCCCTGGGAACTCGAACCGGGAACCCTCTTGCTGTGAACCGACGGTGACAACCACCACAGCACTTTCTAGAAAAATTAATAATAATTTGAGAACTCCTTACTTTTACTTTTACTCCTTACGCTTAAAATAGACATCCACCCCTGTCCTCATTTCGTTTTAGCATCAAGCAGCGGCACCCGGCTCCATCGGGGCTTCGTGGAAGAGGCCTCCCCTGAGGACAGACCTCCTCAGACTACACACATCGTCTTTGTGGTGCACGGGATCGGTCAGAAGATGGACCAGGGCCGCATTATTAAAAACACTGGAATGTGAGTTACAGTTTTCAGAAAGATCAACTGAATCATTGTACATCTATTCAGTATTTCTGTAGATTGTGAAATCAAGCAGGGTCTGGTCTAAGCAGAGCATCGCTCCACTGCGCCTCAGTTCAAAGTGTTTTCTGTTCCCTTAAAGAGGGAATCTGTTTCTCACACTTCTCATTTTTTGTTAGTTTAGCATCATATCACATTCACATCTTTCTGCTTTAGACGCTCAGGAATTCTCAAATGGTTTGCTCAGTGAGCTCACACTTCTTTCTTTTTCATTCTCTGTTGATTATAAGTTCTGGACATGAACCTGTTTAACAGGTTGATGCATTTTTGTTCCTCTTTATTTTGAGTTATGTGCTCTCTGTTGTGATGTGCAGGACTAAAGAACAATGTAAGCCCCGCCCCTGTATAAATTACTGGCTTTTCAGAGGGTATTGTTGGAAAACAAGCGTCACATTACTACGTCAGTATCATTGTTTACCTCTCTTTGTTCATGCAACACACATTTTGGGTTTTTTTTTTCCTTGAAGAAAATAACAGCCCTTTTTTCCTTTCCAGTATAATTGCCACCCAACAAATCAAACACGCACTTTAGCAACAATTCCTGGAATCTGAACTTGTTCTTTCATTATCTGAATGGTTTCATATGTCAAGCACATGATGAGGTTAGATATTTTGTCAAATCACCTTTCAAAATTATGCAATCATGTGTTACAGACAAAGGAAAGAATTTCCAACTTCATTATTTATTGACTGTAGCTAGTGGGTTGCTCAGTGTTCAAAGGATAATATCCAATCACTTGATCCCACCAGCTAGCACTTTTGTCTCTAAACAGTTTCTTTTTTTTTTTACTTGAAAGATGTAGATGTTTGTGGAGAGCTCACAGGTGCCTCATGTAGAAGACACAGTGGCAGGACATTCTGTCCATTATTATGTCTTATTTGGTATATTTGTGTATTTGCTTTGCTCCATGGACCTTGTGCTGTAGGATCTAGTACAGGCTGTACAGACCAGAGCCATGTGCATCTCTGTGCCACGAACTTACCACTTGATCGTTGAACCAGCTTAGGTCGACTAAGCAGTTAAAGTAGACCAAGTCAACCGACAAAGCATGTTAAGCCTGACTCCCGTTCACTGGGGATTACAGCACAAACACTCTCCTCAGCTTACAGGAACTATCAGCCTAACATGTCTCGCCTGTAAATTGTTTGCTTGGTTGGTAATGTTTTTTGTTTCTTTTTACTTGGTTCTGCATCTTGTAGAGTTTTACCATTGAGAGGGAAAGACAGCATTGTTAGTTTGAGCCATTATTTTACCCTGAAACTGTTATGGGGGCTGAATACAAAGTCTTTACATTTCCTTACTCTAGATGATCCAGTCACAACATGTCTGAGGTGCCCCATATCCAGACCAGTCACCTAAAAGCCTCTCAGGCTACTTTTACCCATGTCAACAGCTCCCTCACCCTCCCTTTCTTTGTGTATTAGTGTCTCCTAAAAGCTCATGCCACCCCATTAAGGGGTCAGTGTGTACATGCTGCTGAAGAGGACCTGCTGCATCAGTGATTAGAAAAGTGGATGTAATTCTTTACTTCCCAACAGTCATTTATGGTCTGAGAGGAATCAAATGCAGTGTACAGAATTCCCAGTGTGTGTTATTTTCCCCAGATGTCCACAATATCTGCCCCCAGTCCTCCTCATTGTTTTCCACCTCTTTCAGTACAATATGCTGCTCATAATGTTTTTAAATACTGCCAGCAGATAGCCAAAGTACACTCTAATCATCCCCTTTATTTTCCCTTTTTTAGGTTGAGAGATGGTGTGAGGAAGATGGAGGAGAAGCACTTTTCAGAGCACGACGAACATGTGGAATTTCTCCCTGTTGAGTGGCGTTCAAAGCTTACACTGGATGGAGGTTGTTTGATTTTATTTGTGCTTTATTTGCGTCACACAGCATTGAAACAGTGAAGCAGTATACGGTCATTTCAGTGGGTGTTATTTACTGCTCATGGATGGTTAACAGTCTATGTTATGCTGTTGGTGTGTTTCTGTAGATACTGTGGACACAATTACACCAGACAAAGTCAGAGGGCTGAGAGACCTTCTCAACAGCAGTGCCATGGACATCATGTACTACAACAGCCCTCTTTACCGGGATGAGGTGAGAGTCAAGCATGTCAGAAGCTGCCGGGAATCTCTTGGAGCCTCCACTTCTTATAACTTATCCACTCTCTCTCCTCAGATCACTAAGGGCCTCACACAGGAGCTGAATAAACTTTACTCACTCTTCTGCCTACGAAACCCTGAATTTGAGGAACGGGGCGGCAAAGTGTCCATTGTGTCCCACTCACTCGGCTGCGTCATCACGTATGACATCATGACTGGATGGGATCCCGTACGCTTCTGTCTGCAGGAGCACCGCGCTGTCGAGGAGGAGCTGGACATGCGCTGGATGTCCTACGAGGAGAGGCAACTTTTGGAGCAGCTGAGGTTCACAAGGAATAGGTAACGTGGATCAGCCACTCAGAGAATGTTTGTATAGCTGAGTCTGTGTATGAAAATCCTCCAGTATTTGTGTGGAAAGCTTTAGAAGAAACCACTGGGATGTCTTCTGATATGTTTGATGTTTTTTTTAACTCCGTAAGTGGCAGCATATTGCAATTGGTTAACAGCTGTATGTTTAAGTAGGACTACATAATTAAGGGGACTTTTTTTAACCTCTTTTCTGAGACTGTAAATAAACATCTGCTGCGGGACGTCTTTCCAAACTAGAATTAGGCATGCACTATATATTATATGCTGCTCATGTTCCAATTTTAGGTCCAGAGTTTATTTTTGTGCGTTCTGCAGAGTATTTTTATTCTCTATGAGCACATTGAGGGGAAGAGGCTTTATAGTACGTCCGTCTTGCATCATGCTTCCTGTCCAGTGTTACTCTCTGTACTTACCATGTTTGTGCTGTCCTCAGAAGTGGGTGTAATTCCTAAGTCATGGACACAGTGTAGTAATTACAGGATATAACGATGAATCTTTTTTATTTCATTATGTTTTTATAAAGGTTACGAGAGCTGGAAAATCAGGTTGTCACATTGGAGGCCTCAAAGCCCTCAGCACCCCCAGCACTCAAATTTAAGGTGAGAGGTTAAAATTTTTCTTTTGATAAATGAAAGTTTATCAAACGGGACCATTGGGTCATTCAGAGTAATCTTTTGTGTCACAGGTGGAGAACTTCTTCTGCATGGGATCTCCTCTGGCAGTGTTCTTAGCTCTGAGGGGTATCCGCCCAGGTACCAGCTGCCACCAAGACCACATCTTACCCACCTCCATCTGCAGCCGACTGTTTAACGTCTTCCATCCCACAGACCCAGTGGTCAGTTTTTTTTTATAGCCACTGTATGTATGGATGTTGCAGGGAGTTTAACTTTTTTGCTGTTGACATTTGAAAAATGTTGTCAACTCATTCAAACATTCAAACTCATTCGTACAGAAAATGTGCCCCGCTCAAAATTAATGAATGTTTTCTGCTCTGTTTTAGGCCTATAGACTAGAGCCCCTCATCCTGAAACATTACAGCAACATTTCACCTGTCCAGATTCACTGGTGAGAAGCTGAATCTTTGAGCAGTTGGTGTGGTCATTTGCATTTATGGCTGAAGAAGCTGAACGTGTCGGGTTTGTTTTATTCACCAGGTGTAGTGCCACTAATCCTACACCATACGATGAAATCCGCCCGACTTTCCTAAACCCGGTCAAAGATCCAGCATCTGACACAGAGAGCATTCCCAGCCCCAGTACTTCACCTGTGCTCCCACGCAAGCACTACGGGGAATCCATTACCAGTCTGGGCAAGGCCAGCATACTGGGTAATTTGCATTTACTTTCCAAACTTGAAGGAGCAGTATTAGTGGTATACGTCCTCATTAAAGGGTTTGAATGATAATGAATATGCAGATATACACCCAAGGGGTTTTTTCCACCATTACAGAGCCAACAGTGCCATCATGTGGCCATAAGGTGTAGTGTTGTTGAACATGTTTTCATTGCGTCAAAAAGTTCTCACCATAGTTAGATTGGTTCATTATTTTCTCCTCTTCTGTACAAAATTCCATGTAATTCACTTCTGCTTTTGTTTTATTTACACATTTATTTCATTACAGGTGCGGCAAGCATTGGGAAGGGCATAGGAGGGATCCTCTTTTCACGTTTTTCTCGCTCAAACAGCCAGCCTTCAGTGTCGTTAGGCCTGGATGGAGGAACAAATGTCGAGGAAGAGGAGCAGAAGCGCACAGAAAGCCAGTCAGCCTATGGCCTCTCCAGCATGATTCGCCCCACCTCCCCCACAACCGACACATCATGTGAGTTTACTCACTAATGCAGCAACAGTCATTTTCATTTGCCCAAACCTTTACAAACTGCTGGTTGGGTTTTAGTGCTTAATTCATGGATGTGTTTCTCTGCTCCTGTCCTGCAGTGGAGCTGGAGAGGCGCATCGACTTTGAGCTTCGGGAAGGTCTGGTAGAGAGCCGCTATTGGTCGGCGGTGACCTCGCACACAGGCTACTGGTGCTCACACGATATAGCCCTCTTCTTGTTGACCTTCATATATAAGCAGAAGGCAACACCCTGCGAGCCAGCAGAGGACGCTCCAGAGCCCGACTGAGACTCCACCTTTGTTACAATACCAACTGACTAAAATAGAATGACTTTGGCCAATCAATTCCAATCCTCTTGATTCCACTAGTAATCACTTTTTCCTTTATTTTTCGTGATGACTCAGCCTGTTTGACATTTGGGAATAGTTACTGAGAAAAATGACTCAAGACCTGATTCCGAGATGTATGTTTTTGCACACCCTAAGGGTGTAGGCGTTGGACCAGGAACCCGTAAAGAGGTGCATCCTTTGCCAGTATGACAACAAACTAAATGCGAGCATGGAAGAAGCGTCTCAGGAGTCCCATGCATGGAGGTTTTTTGCACAGTGGAAGGGAGCTGACTTCATTCACAAGCTTATGTCCAACATTCGCAGCTTTCTGAACACGTGTCTATCAGTTTGCTGTTATCAATGCGTAAATTCATCCACTCTCTCCCACACGCTCAGTCTGCAGCCTTGTGACACATCTGCTTGACTTAGTCATTGAGATCTCAAGTTCTGTGTAACGTAACTGAAGCAATGCACCTTTTTTATTGACAGTACCATTTTTGCTTTGGGGAGAATGTTTACTAACATAAAAATATTAACTCCAGTTGTCCCCCTTAGATTCCACATAAAGCTGTATCGTGACAGGCTGATCATTGGGCTTTAACAAGGAAAACATAGCTATTTACATAATTTACCCTTCTTGAGATCCTAAATCCTAAATAAAAGTCTGGATTTGTGACATTTACAAACCCAGAGCTAGCGCCCAAAACTCCAGTCAACTGAAGTCTGAGCTTCCATATTGATCGATTATATAGGTTTTTTTTCTTGAACGTTTATATTGATGTCAAAATTGAATCAATGGTACTAGATTTATTTTCTCTAAAAGGAAAAAGAAGAAAAAATATTTTTCATAGTGATATTTAGACTGTTGTTGACAGAAACCTGGATCTCATCACTGGGAAACTGGGATTCAGCCTTGTTGCCAAATAACATTCATGTTTCTATTTCTCTAGCTGCATTAACAGAACTTTGGTTAATTGTTTAAAATTCAATTGAAAAAAGTAGATTTGTTTTAAGCATATGCAATACATTGCACAGAAAAGTAAAATAGATCTTGTTCACCTCCTGTGTGACTAATTGGCACTTTTCCCTAGTAAGAAAAGCTTTGTGTGTCAGACGCCGGTGTATTTATGGTTAAAAGACCCCTAGTCATTGAGGCAAACACATTTATTTAACATTACTGCCTATTTGACTCTTCTCTCATCTATTTAAAAAACAATGATAATGTTTTAGCGTTTTTTTTTTTTTTTTTTGCTTTAGGTGTCAGAAGATATGTTAACCACACAGATGGAGCGCGTATTAGTTATAGATCAGAGTAATAATTCAGTAAAAATTCCAATGTTTACTTACTTGGCATGGTCTCAAGTAAACACTGAATGATTGTTGAATGGAAAACAGATGGTGCAGCGTGCCAATAAATTAAGAGTCTTTGTTACCTGCAAAAACAGTCATTTAGAATACATTTTCAATGAATCAAGAACCTGAACTGTCCTTATTAGCATACTTATTGAGTCACATGCCACTACCTATTGGTCAAATTATTCATCCATCTTATTTTGATTTGTTGCAGTATAAGATGGGGCTTAATTTCGACGGCATAAGGGCTATTGTTCCCTGGACCACCGAACATGGAATCACTTCACTGTTTAATGTCTGTGTTGCGTTGCAAAGGCCTATGTACTAAAACCAGGCTGCCTTGAAGAGCTGACCGAATGGCTCACCGGGAAGATGTTCTGAATCTGGGAAAAAAAAAAAGATGGGTTCATGTGAGAATGTTTGCACGTTCATCAGCGATGAGTTGCACGGGAGCAGCCCAGTGTAGATTATTATTATTATTATTATTATTTTTTATCCTTATTTTTTTGAGCGTTTATTACAGGGATGGGTGCAGGAAGCGCTTCAAACATGCAAAGAGCTGTTTCACTGTTGCCTCTGCATCACCCAGTCGTTCAGCATGGGTTTCAGACACAGCACACAAGTACTGTAAGAGTGCCCGCACCACTGGGCAAATAACGGCAATCTTCCTGTTATTGTTGGGGATTTGGCCGTGTTTCCAATCCGTATGGGGAAATCAGCACATTTTCCTTTCTAACAGTTTCTGACTCAAGCACAGATGGTCAAATGTGTTCCCTCTAGCCGGTTTGGAGAGCACCACAGAGCATTTTCAGAAGACACCTTGAAAATGTGACCGTATGACAACTTAATGTACAGAACTTTGACCGATGACAGTATATTTTTCTTGGTAATTGTACCATAAGCATCAGGGAAATATCTGTTAAATGTTTTGTAGGTTCGACATTTGTTTGATGTCGCGTCAAAGCCATTATCGATTACAACAATTCAGCGCATGTGTCACTTTTAAAACTACAACTAAAACAGACACATACAGTATGTCTTGCATATGTGTATGTTGCCAGTGGGGCGGCAAAAAACGCATTAAAAGTTACTGTGGCTGAGTTAAATGTGTTGAAACAGGTAACATTTGCTCTAACTTTCAATAGATGTCTGGAGAAGTGTTTTTCCATAGAGCTGTGCAATAACTCATGCCTGTAATGAATTCTAACTGCCATCCAAAGCAATGTATTTATTTCCTTTTATTAAAGCATTTCCTTTTGAATACGACCAGTCGATATCAACGTGTCACTTTGTGATGGCAGGAGGGCTGAATGAGGCTCTTCTGCTGTATGAAAAGAGGTTGAATTCACCTAAAGGGAGATGGGCTCTTGCTCATTTCCAGACTGTTTTTTTGGAGAACAATGGAGCTGTTTGTTCATCTGAAATTCAGAGCAGATTATTTCCAACACGCCCCCTGAAGAGAGCAACAAAGTTGATGTATAGGTCACGAAGAGGGCCGCTTTGTGTTCCACCAGCAGTCGCTGCCTTCACATCTGTCGCGAGGACATTTAATTCTCCCCAGCAACATCCAACATCTGCAAAGGCGAGGTTCACAGATGGGACCAGATTGATCGGGCTGACTCATACATAATGTAAAAGTCCATGTTGTGCTGTTTTTGGCCAGAAGAGGTCAGTCAACTAATAACAATACTGGAACAAAGACCCTCAAATCCTCTTTTTCCATGTATCTAACAGTCACTTCAGCAATGAAGCTTTTTTTCTTTTATGGCCAAGACTATTTTGATTGATATAACATGTAACAACTGACTTACGCAGAACAAGGTTCCTTAAAGAAAAAAAAAGTCTTCATTCCAGCTCCTCCATCTTTGTCACTTCCCCACCAAGTCTGTCTGACTCTCCTGCTTTGCATCTGACTCAAATGTTTACTTTACAATTAAAAGGCGGCCTATAAAAGGGAATGGGTCAGCTGCCAGACGCTGACGAGGGGGTCGGAACAGCAGGGAGAGAGGTTATAAATCGCTTTGATGCCGACCATGGTCTGAAGAACCAGATTCCTGAGCTGGAAGATATGAGCCAAGCGAGTTCACCGGGATCCTGGGCCAGCAGCACTGATGATTCATGGGACTTTACTGCAGATCTTTTGGCGCGTGTATATTTGAGTGTGTATTGTGCTGCTGTTTTTGGAATAGACAGAAAACAGCTGCTTTTCCTTCCATTTTCCTCCCCCAAACGTATGATTTGTGTGATCATTTGGTTTAGGCATAAAGTGCTATCTTTCATCTGAGGCAGTCAAAATGTGAGCAGTAGCTTGCAGACAGTTGTCTTTAGTGTCATCAGGTCCCCATCAGGTCTTTTTTCCTCCTCTACAGTTCACGCGCGGGCAGACAAAACCATAAACATGAGGTGCAAAACTAAACCAAACTATTCTCTCTTTTGATAGCAGATTAAGATGAAAATCTTGATCAGGGATTGTGGTTTAGAGCCATAAATCACAGCGAATTAATTCAATTGCCCTGGTTTATTTGAAATATCCCCATTACGCCTCTGTTCACGATGTCATAACTGAAGTAGCATGAAAAATAAAAAGAACCAATGCAGAGAGTAAGACAAAGTGAATGAACCACTCATTGAATATATGTGGATTTGCTTATAATTTCAAAGTTAAAAAAGAAAACAGCTGCTTTGATGACATGTCTGCTGCTGCGCATACTTTTCATGCTCCAGTTTGTGATTTTTCACAGTGTAAATGATTACATTTCCTGAACTCTTTTGCTTCACAAATCACGATGGCATGTGAGGAAGCTTGACATATCTTCACATGGACCAGTTGGACCATTACCTGGAATGTTCTTTGAGTGTGTAAGTGTCACAAAAGCTCTTTACAACTATCAACAGAGCAAACGCAGCGAATGCGTCTAAAGTGTGGAACCTGGAATTCCATTCCGTGTCAGTTTGTACATTTACTCACAGCAAGAGAGGGACAGACCCCAGTGTGCCGATTCTAAGCTCAGCAGCACTATTGCCATAAAAGGAAGCCTGTGATCTTTCCTGTGTGTCCATTAACCCCTCCACAAGTTGCTGAATTTCCTGCTGTGGTGGGCTCAGTTCAGACCATGTTACAATCGTCTCTGCTTCCACTTTATGTGGCAAATCACTTCCTTTTTAAAATGTATTTTATTATTATTATTATTATTTTTTTTTACAATTGAAGTCACTAAAGGTGAAGGCATTTTTTTCCCCACCTTCATTCTTATCTTACAAGCAACCAGCAGCTGTTCATAAAATCTCAGAATAAGAGGAATGATTCTGTTAGATCACAAAATATGAGGCTTTTCTTGTATTCAACACACCAGACAGCATGAACAGTGCTTAGAAACCAAACAGGAATATCACAAACATAACTGATTTTAAAGATATCTTTTTTTTTTTTAATCCTCTGTGACAAATATATATGATTTTTATAAAATAGTAGTAGAGGACAGTAAATAGCCATACTGGTCACATGGTGCTTCTCAGCTTTCCTCATAGGCTTCTTTTTGTATGTATTCAGTTTGTTATTCCTTTTATAATTATTGTACTGCATACTCCAATAAATGTTAAACATATATTTATGAATTTTGTAAACTAGGATAATAAATAAAGAACATAGAAGACTATAACGATAAAAAAACAGATAACATCAAATAAAAATAATCAAATAGAGCTGTTAAAACCATGTAGAGTTAAATATATTGACTTTTTTCCTTACTCGTTTATTTTCAGAATTGTGTGCTGTCCATTTACTTGCGATAGCTTTCTGTTGCCACGAGTGGTTTAAAGTTCAAGAAAATGAGAAAAACCGGAGGTACAATTTCCAGTTTTCCATCTGTACAGTGTGCTAGAGGTGGCCAGTAGGCGACCAGAGAGGCTCGCAGGATAAAAAGGAAAACAGGGACCGAAAACACAGGCAAAGAAAAACGGTGGTGACGTTACTCCGCGCGGAGGGAGGGAGAAGAGGGAGAAAGAGCTCGCCTCCATTAAACCGAAGCCTGTTGGAAAACTGTTTGGGATACTTCACTTCTTCGGCTTGCCCTTGGTGGATTTCTCTCCGTTTTTATTGCCCGAATTACATTATATGCATGATTTAAAGAGGGGAGGCTCGTTCTGTGCCGTGTAGTGAAAAATAAAGTAGTGTTTTTTTTTCGTCTTTGTGAAGGTGAGTGTACATTTTTAAATGTTCGCCCTGAGATTTGCTCGCTCGCCGCTGTGAAGTGTGCTTTTCCTTTTCGTACAGCTTTTTTGTAACGTTCCGCTAAAGGCTTCGCTGTTGACTTTCTGCCGGAACCTTTTGCTTTTCTTTTCCCCCCCACACACTTTCTTATAAACTTATATCCTCGGCGAACGGCTGCTGAGCGAAGTGCCTGCAGCCGGGGTGAGGGCTGAGCTTACATAATGAACCCGTCAGCCTATTTGTAAGAGTGCCTTTACCGTTATTTTTAACAGGTGAACCGTCACATTTGCAGCCGTAACACTTGCCAAAAGTCTTTTCCGAGCTTTTATCCGCGGGCTTACAGCCTTTGTTCCGCCGTATTTATTGACCAGACGGCCGTTTCCATCGCCAGGCCACTTTCCGCCACACAGCCCCGGTTTGGCCACTGACAGATAGAGCTACAGTGGAACTTTTTGGCGGTGACTTTACACAACAGAGCTCGTTGTATCCCCCCCCCAAGGACACAGAGGAGACTCAGAAATGGAGCTCTTGATTTTTGTTTCCATCTTTTCCCTCCTAAATTATGCCCGAGGGGTCGAATGTGAACGTGCAATCACAGTTTGGCCTTGTTGGCCGAAACAGGCAACGTCATTGTTAACTAGGATCTGGATTTAAAGTAGGTGTAGTCCATTCAGATGGACATATGAATCAGATGTGCCCACCATTTGCTTTGTGTTACCAGGGTGAACTCATTTAAAAAAAGTCAATTAAATCAGCATGAAATTTGGGATATGTTTGGCATTTCTTACAACTAACTGATTGTATGATGTTGTCAGAAGTGCCTTGGCAATTGTGAGGGACAGTTTTAACATTGTAACCCCTAAATACAGCATCCTACATTTGGTTGACTAAATCTTTGTCCTCTCCTTTTTAAATGCTTGCGCTGTTCAGATGGTAGTCAGCAGTAGATTACCCTGGTGACATCCCTGGGACTTCTCATACTTTCCAAGAACCTGTCGAGCTGTACTTTCGGGCAGAGTTCTGACAAAGATTGCTGGTAATTTTTGCTGTGACAAGCCATGCGAACCCTTCGTGATGATCAAATTTGAATGATCTACCATGTGTGTTAATCATCACGCCGTCTGAAGTTAGGTACAGAGTGGGAACATTGCATACCCACCAAGTAGAGAGCAAGAGTTACACACATGTTCAAAATAACAAACAGGAAGCAGTTTGACCTCTGTCCTTCATTTATTCCTCCCTCTGGAGTTTAAAAATGTCTTCTCATTGTAGCATGATGGAAGTTCAATCATCTTCTGACCAGCTGACTGTGTCTCTGTTAGGCAGGATGGCTCTGGATGGGATCCGGATGCCCGATGGCTGCTATGCCGACGGGACGTGGGAGTTGAAGATTCATGTCACCGACCTCCACAGGGACGTGTCTCTGAGGGTCACCGGGGAAATCCACATCGGTGGAGTTATGCTCAAACTGGTGGAGAAACTAGGTATGCATGCACGTCCGTGTTTTCACTTTCCAAATCAACTTATTCCAATGCAGTGGACAGGCTGTGCATGAGCTTTATTGACTCTTTTTGGCTTAACAGTGTAACAGACATGACAGCAGTTCACATTAAGTCTGCAGATTTCAGTTGTATTCCAGTTGAAATGGAAAACTCTTTTCTTCTTTTTTTTTTGCATGATAGTTTCTGTGCATCTTTGTCTTATCTGTTAATATTTTGTTGGATTATTTTTCACAAAATGGGGAGAGTTCTAAGAAACTGAGTTCAGCTAGGGATGAAATGCTGTTCTTTTATGCAAGACTGCAAGCCGTTTCAGAATACAGGCCAAAGTTAATAACTGACATTTTGAGATGATTTGTGATGACCGAGAGCTCAAAAGCATTGCTTTTGCTAAAATGCAGGCAGACAACGTGTGAAGTAACAGGAACAGGATATGTTTAAGTACAAGCTGCAATATCTTATTGTTTAAGGGATTAAAAATGAAAAACTTCTTTTTTTTTTTCATAATCTTTTTCCAAGCTGTGAAGGTTACCTCATGACGGTGAAAAATGACACTTATTGCTTGGAACTCATTGAACAGAGGTTGATATCCCTTATTGTCACACACTAATATATACATATTAGTGGTTGGCAATGTATAAAACCCCCCACAGTGGCATTCCCTCCCTTCACTCTAACATGCACTGTTTTGTAACTGCAGTTATGCACTTGACAAGTTTGGGTGCCAGTAAGGATAAGAACCCTCTGTTCCAGCCACTTGAACACTGCCTTGTTTCATGGAGTCTGTAGAAAAGGTCAGCGGTGGTGGCAGTGAGATTTAGGAGTGACGGTTTGTTGTGCGTCGATGGCGCTCAGATGCTCAGAATTCCTGCCGTGCTCCCAAGTTTTATTCCCTGCCTATGGTCCTGTTTTTAGCTCTCCTGTTTGGGCGCCACATAATTGAGGTTTTTGTTCTTTGTGGGTCGTCTGTGCAGAGGAGCATCCATGCTAAATGAGTGCAGTGTTGCTTCCATGTGTGGGCTGACGTGCGCTCCACTCAAGGCATGGTCTTATTCATTGTTGGTCGTTCTCTGTGGCAGAACATGGGGAAAGTCTTCCTTATTTTCTGTTAAAGCAGTTACTAATGAGGGATTGTTATTTTTGCACCAGGGTTTAAAAAAAAAAAACATTTTCAAATTACAATGGTGACGTCAGTCTTTTCCCAATTTACCACCATCCATCTTCTCTCAGGCCATTCTCTTCTACTAGTAGCCTGTTTTAGCATTTCTCTGTTTTCTTCCATCCTTTTTATGACCTCATGCTGCTGCAATTTTTAACTTGCAGGGGGTGTGTGTTCGCTGCATGTTAAATGATTTCCTCTCATCTGTCCTCTGTACACCGACCAGCGTTTTCATTAACACTGGTTGTGCATGCGCTTCCACACGTGATTCTGGTTTTGTGTGTGTCTCGTCCACATGGACCTTGCGTCCATCATTCTATTTTTCCTGTGATCTGCAGGCCATTCTGCAGGCTCAGATGGCCTTCGATAATGGATTAAATAGAGAAATGCCAGGAAGGCACTTAGGTATTGATCACGATAACGGCGGCTGCTTCCATTTCCTTGAAAAACTCCAGGAGAGTAGTATTTAAAGCAAAATGATTTCCCCCTTCTGAGTCCCTTGTTTTGGTTGCACTTTCATCCCTCCATTGCTCTCCATCACTGGTGCCTTTTCTGTCTTTGTTGACGTTTTCTAAAAGAGCCGTACGCTTTCCCTAAAAGCTGTTCCATTCAGCAGGGAAAACAAATACCGTACAAACATCAGTAGCCAGCAGGGGCTTTTATTTGATCTGAAGGCTTGTTTCCCAAGTTGCTCGGCTTTTAGGTCTGATAATCAGTAAGTGCTACTTAAAAGCAACAAGTGTCCGATAATGGTAAACACCACTTTTCGGATGGCTGCTGCTAATGCTGCTGACATCCACAGGCGATGCTACATGTTTCATTCAGCGGTGTCCCCCAGCTGTGTCGGCTCAGCCTGGTCACGCAGAGGCAGATGAGAGTAGAGGGACTGGATGGAGGAGAAATTGGAGTTAAGGGAGGAGGGCCCAAGCGTTCTGTCCTCTCGCCGTCTTTCCCCATTGTGACGTTTGCCACGCTGCTAGAATTCCATAAAAGTCTTCCATGAAGCAGGAAATGACTTTCAGGGATAGGCATGTGGCTCTCTGGTGGCTGCCGTCATCGCTGGAGTCTCTGCTGCTTGCTTCATCTGCCTCCCGCTCTCTCTGTAAACCCTCCCTATTTTCCTCTCTTCCCCCTTTCAGCCTCCTGTTTAATTTCCATTTAATCTAAGTGTGTTTTTATGGAAATATTTTTTCAGAATGACTTTGTCTTTAAGAGCCATGTCTTTTGCACTGGACACCATCCACCCCTCCAGCCTCATAATGGGGTTTAATGGTCAATGGGAAACGTAGAAGTAATCTTAATTCTTCCATGGTTTCAGAGCCCGGTTCTTGCACACTGACTGTTCAGCCTTCCAGAAATAGACGTCGAACTGATTAATTGGTCTCGTGTGACTCCGTTTGTGCATGTGGTTGTTCATACTTAAGTGGGGGTCTTTAGGACTTAGCAGTTGTAACCACCAGACCACCACAGAGAACTTTCCCTGCATCTCAGAGAAAATCTGCATTTTGAATTTGCAATTATCTTCATCTCAGTATGTTGTTGATGGTCAGCATCATAAATTTGTAGCCCAATGCACATGATTTGTTCGTTCCTTCATGATTTCATTCATTTCTCAAAGAACACATCAGAAATCAAACATCAGTTATTGTTGGCAGTCTAGATTAGGCCTGACTGTATTGTTCTTCTTAATAACTGTACTTCACTTTGATTACTATTTCAATTTTATGGTAATAAAATTTAGGGTAATTCTACTGTTGGTGTGCTGAAGGTCGTGATGACCAGAGGAAAATAACCTCCATTTGAAAATGGAGAACAGGTTTCATTAGGAAACAGACACTGTTTAACTCAGGATGCTGAATTTCCTCTGACCATTATTTTGCCCTCTACCTTCTGTCTGCCTTGTATGCCAACATTCCTGCCAACTTGGTCTGAGTGACATTTTTTTCAGGCTCAGGGGACTTGATGCACACAGTTGGACAGTACTATGTGTGATGAGACTCATTGATTGTGACTGGAGCTGTGCTGAGGACCTGGTAGTTTGAAGTGAGAAATGTCCTGGCAGCCTGTGTGATCATCTTACTGTTTAATCTTTCTGACAGGAAGTAGTTAGCCTAAGTGGTGGTCCTGCCCAGGCCAAAGCTTTCCTGTTTCACTAGTAAGATGATGCTCTGATTGTGCTGCTCTGCACTCGCGCTGCAGATGGGACCTTAGATAGGCCATAGCCTCTATAAAGTCTCTCATACTTAATGTTCTTTTAGTGAAATTGATGAAACAAAATCAAATCCATAGAATGTCTGCTTTTCCTTCTTATGCTGCTGTGCATGTTATACTGCTGGACCTATTTGAAACAGAAAGTCAGCCAAAAATGGACTTTTCACAACTTTGTCCCAGTCTTGAGCAGATTGTATTTAGTCCCTTTCACCTTCCTGTGGGCAAATAGCACAGTGGGACCGGTGCAGGGAAATGTTAACCCTCCACATTGTTGTAACACTTTTGTGTCAATGCTGTAAACTGATCTCAAGTCTTTTGTGCAGTCTCCCATTGCACATTTCATTCATTTCATACCTTCCCGCCCTACAGTCTGTATCTTTCCCTTACAGCACTAAGAAGCAGTCTGCTTTCAATACCACAGAATGGGTTAATGTCAGAGAGGAGAATTTGTTGTAATATTTAAGGGGGGCCCTGTCACTCTTGATTTCTGGTAGCCCTAACAATTTTATTTGATTTAATTTCTAAGCAGCCTGAAGAATTCAGAAGTTTTACCTCAGGGTTTGTAGAACTGTTGTAACTGTATCCTGTTGTCCACAGAGGTATCAGTGGACAGGTCATTGCAGTCCTGAGGGGACATCTGGCAGGATGTATGCCTTGATAGAGCGAGAGATGAATATTGTATATCTGCTCCATTGATCCATTGCAGAGTTTCTTTGTAATGTCATTATTCCACCAGGGCCCTGAACACTTAATCGTATAAAGCTGTGTCAGAGAGGACAGGGAGTATCCCCACTGCTGTGTTGGGATTGTGACACAAATGGACACAAACGGTCTCTAAGGCGGCTTCCTTTAATAGCCGTCTGGCCTTTTCTGATGCATTAAAGTCAGCTTTGTGGACCATTTTTATTCCAACACTCTGGATGCTGCTAAATGTCTTATTTTGATTTTGGATTAATCTTCCAAAAGAACCAGCTTGCTGTTTTTTAATAGTCTCAGAACCTTGTTCATTTTTCAAATGTGGACCTGTATTTTGCCAGTCTTTTGTGGTTTGGATGCGACGATGCTGTGGCCCTTTCTGTGTTCGAAAAGAGATGTTATCCAATAAGAGGCCTTTTTTCTGGCTAAAGTATTCACAACTAATCCAGCCAACCATTCTCAAATAAGACAGGCTTTTTTATGTTGACATGAGGTGATGGCCTTTGACGTGACCTGCTAAGTATGTAAATAAACATGTAACTGTCAGTTGAGCTGCAAACAGGAAATCAAGAGTTAAAAAAAATCATCATTACATTCTAATTTCAGTCATATCTGAGCTTTGAGTGGTCAGTGGAAAAGGGCTACGGTAAATCCAATCTGAATTCTTTTTACAGATTTCAGTGTCCCAAGTTATGTGACAGGCATGAAATGAGGCAAAGAAAAGAAAAGCTTAATCATACTGTACTTCACTTCTTCATTTTGCTTTGTGAAGAAGTGTTTGCACGAGACTTGCTTTTTTGAAAACTGACTTCACACCTGAGAAAAGTCCCACGGAAGTCTCGTCATTAGTGTATTCTGTTTTCAGATGCCTCCGTTATCTGTTATCAACAACAACAGGACAGTTCTCTAGAGAACTGGTTCATTGTCCACCAAAAACACCACTTTTTCCAGTTACTTTTAAATCAAACCCACCTTGACACACATGTCATATCTGCATGGTTTTTGTGAACCCTGGATGTTTTAGTATTCAGCCTGTTTTTTCTACTCTCACGGCAGCATCTAATATTGCCAAAACAGCTCATATGAGCATACCAACCACATGGTTGTTGTGTAAAACATGGGGGATAGAAGCACCAGAGGAAAAAAAACACAAATCCCATTGAACAACCTGTATTGTTCTCATCAGGGTTTGTCTGGCCATCTGTACCCAAAAAAACCTTGTTACTATTTGATTTAGAATTAACATCTTAGATCTAGTTAACAGTTAAACTGCACTGTATTAAATGCTGTGGAGAGAGGTTAAACCAGATTAAACTGACATTTCATGAGCTCTCATTCATTTGGCTTAAACTTTAGATATCATTGGCATTTAGTGATTTGTTTTTAATCGGTTCAGGCACAGGGTTCAGTTCTCCTGTTGATTTTGTGCTTCATTCTCTGATTCTTATATTTTTTTATAATACAAAAAAAGATGGAAGCAAACACTCCATTGATCAGGACTATTTCCTTGGCAGATGTTGCAGACAGCTGACAAACCACATCTGTCCTTTGGTAACAGTGAGTGGCAGCTACATTTACCCCCATCGGTGTATTATACCTCTCTACACACCTTCTTAAAACTGTGCGTCATCTCCAGTAGAAAAATGGAGCACTTTAGCTTCATGTGACCTAAACAGTGTCTTAAACTGATCTCAGTCTGTTGTTCTTGAATCACCAGAAAAAAAAAAAAGAAGTGCTTTATATGTGTTTTTCTGTCACCAACATGGATGAATAAGGACTGTCTAGATGTCTATGTGATCTTTTCAATGTTGTTTTGCTTTATTCGCATTGGGGCGTGGTTTTAAAAAAATGTTTTGTGTGAAAATGACTTATCGCTTTGCACCATCGAGCCTGTGGCTCGTGCAAGCAGTCGCCACGGAAACGGCATGACCAGTCTCACCCGGTTATATTGTCTGATCAGCTGATGACTGAACAGGACAAAACCCAAACAGAGTATAAACAAGACAAACTCGTAGGCCTGCCATCATGAATAATTTCTAAGGGCCCTTACTTTTGCTGCTATGCTAATGGAGAAAAATTCTGTGCCACAGAATCTACGTTCAAGAGAAATAATTTTATAGAAATTTCTTTTGGGTTACTGGATGTCAGATCTGCTGTTGAGCAGCACTAATCGGTCTGTTAGGTGGTCAGCTGAAAATAATCTGACTGTTTTTCTGTGTAGGTGTTGAATATTTGTTAATCTCAGCAATAAGCATGAGTGAGGGTCACAGTAAACTATTAAATAGTAATGGTCATTACTCACAAATGTATTTATTTGATGACTCATTACAGTATGATGGTGATTAACTTCAGATGCTCAGTTTTTAGATGCATGCGTTTTCCCTGCCACTTGTTCTAAAAGTAGACTGAAAAGCCATGCGTTTCCTGCATGTGTTCTATATCTAATGGTGAAGTTGTGATGAGGATGATTTACCTTGTATATTTGAATGTATTGTTTTCATCATGCTTGTTGCTATACTGCTTGTTATTTTTTATTATTGTCACCCTCATATTCTGTCCATGTCCTCCTCATCTGTCCTTTTCTTGCCCTTTCTCCCATTCTTTTTTTTTTCACCCTCTCCAACATTGACCAGTCTCCTCCCCCTCACAGAAAGGCTTCCATAAACATAGCTGCCTCCTAATGTAAACACCACAGATACTCTGACCAGAAAGGAAAAGATGGAGGGAGTGATGTGGAGGAAAGGGAAGGAGGGACACTTCAGTCTTCATTATAATCCCAATGAAAGCCCTTCAGTCTGAATACTTTTGTGCCTCCATTGAAGTGTAGAGCTTGCTTATTTGAATCAAAAAGACTTACTTGGCTATGATGGCAGTAAATAGTTATTTAGAATTTTTTCTTAAAGATGTATCTATAATGCAGTCCTCGTTTTGAGTTGTGATGATGAATGAAACAATGTCGGTTTGGGAGAATCTCTGAATGAAATTAGCTCATTAAAGCACCAACACAGGCGGCACACAGAGCTGAGGTGGGTAATGGATGGATTAGAGCAACGTCCTTTTCTCAACAAAAACTCAAAGCCACGCGCACAAAACAATCTCTGTATCATTTGTTACATCTTGCGGAGGTCATAAAACATGTTTTCTCATTTTGTTTCCCCTCCCCTTGTCCTTTAAGTGCAGCTCACACACACACACACACACACACACACACACACACACACACACATATACACACACACATACACGCGCACAAAGAAATTAACGACTGTGGGTCCACATTTGATGCACCCAATTACTTAGGCCCCCCATTCCTCTGGCTGCTGCATTACGTCAGGCTTGGCAGGCAGTATTTTTAGATGGTCGATACCATTGGCCCTTCTCATTGGCTCTGTGGATTGAGTTACCACATTATTGCTGAACGAGCCCAGTGGAAGCCTACATCAGGCTGCCATCATCCAATCACAACACATGGAACCACTGGGTAGTGATGTAAGCAAGGAGAGAGGACGGTGGTGTTCAGTGAGGTGGTGGGCAGTAACAAGGAAATGGAGAAGAAGGGTGGTATAGCTGTCACTCAGATGAATATGCATGTCTTTCCAAAGATTGGTGGTAATGCATGCTGCGTTTGAGTGCATTTTTTTGGGGATTGGTCTGTGGTGGAAACATGAGTGCCAAATGTTAATGGTAGCTGTTCTGCATCATTCGCAGACACCAGAAATTACAAGGTTGTTGGAGGAAAAACTGTGAGCAGAGTTATGAAAACACACAGTTGGGTTATTTTCAGTTTTTCTCTCCCCACACTCTGCCATTTTTTCTGAGTTTAATAACTTAAAAGAGTAGAAAAAGTACTGGTAGAAATGAAGTTGCCTTCTGCACAGCTGAGGGATCAATATGGAGCGATGACAGCTCCACCCCACGCTGCAAGAGTAACTCGCACGGGGACTCAGAAAGCCTGGAATGTTTCCCCCCCCAAGCCCCAAGTGTTTGCCTGTAGGAGTAAACGGCATAAAACCCAACAGCTTGACAAACAACCGACCCCCTCACCAGGCAATCTTTTCCACTCCTTTTTAAACTGGTCCTCCCCTTCACATCGATATTATAATCTCCTCCTCAGCTCACTTAGCTTTGCTCACATCACAGCAGACTTGTTTACCTGGTCTAAGCAGGCAGTTTATGTTTGATTCACTTACCCAGTAATCCTGTTGACGACACCCCGAGACAAGGTCATCAGAAAAGTGCCAATAATGCAAAGAATGCAAATAATGCTCCTATGTAAAGTAAAAGTCAGTGATGGCAACAGCATGAGTAACCATGGCAACAGTGTTTGATAGATGGAAGAGGTTCACATAAAGGCAATGATATGTCATATAATATTCAATCCAAGGTACCAGTGTCAAGAGTATTGATTATGGTGGAAAATTAAAATCTGTCAAAGTGACGTAAAGGTGCTCAAGACTGTTTTTCATCACTGACTCTCAACTTCTCCTTGATTAAGGCGTAAGCTTTTTAAACCTCCGCACTGATGCTGCAGCATTAGAGTTGAACCAGTTCAGATGAAATATTTTTGAGAAAAGGATGACGCAGCCAACAGACGTCTCCTTCTGGCATTGAAAGCAGAGAGAGAGAGAGAGACCAAGAATGATGCAGAGAATTGGTTGGAGAGGCAATGAGAAATGCCATGGGCTGAGAGAATGAGCGTCTGCCTGGACTAATGCTAAAGTAACGACATCACTACACTGAGGATATCTGCAGGTAGAATAATGGACTGAAACTCTACACCTGTTGACTGCATCATAATTGATTTTTTTTTAATTGAACTATAACTCTTTATTAAAGGGTGGTAGATGCCCTTTTCACCCTTACCTTTCAGTTTAAAGTGATTAGCAATTCAAACAGATCCATAGCGCATGACTTTGCAGCTCATATAGAAACCAGGTGATCCTCAAAACAGATGCCTCAAGTTTCCTCAAATCCCTTCAGCTTTCCCCTTTCCCTTGAAACCAGACACATGCACCATAAGACCACAGGTCAGTCCCCATTGTGCAGAGCTTCTATGGAGCAAAAGCCTGGAAGCTATACATGGTTTTCGGTGGCTTGTGTGTGCTTAAGAGGATCGCGGTGTGGCTGTGGAACAAAGAGGGAGGTAGGAACCTGATATTCCCCCAGTGTCACGCAAACAGCCACGTCTTTTACACAGCCCTCTGATCCCATCACTTGGACCGTACTGCCTTCGTGCAAACCTTTTGAAACTCTTCTTCACCCCTAAATGTGCCCTGTGCCCTGAAGGGGCTGCACTTTACCATCTTATGCCAGTACAGTGCAATGGTGCTGAAAGCTTTAGTTAAACCTTCTGTTGTTTGGTGTGTAGGACGGTACAGATGATGTGCGGTTCATGTTCTTCACTGTGCATATACTAAAAAAAACGTGTTCTCCTATATCTCAGATGTGAAGAAGGACTGGTCAGACCATGCCCTGTGGTGGGAGAAGAAGAAGACATGGCTGCTGAAAACTCACTGGACATTGGACAAGTATGGCATCCAAGCTGATGCCAGGCTGCTGTTCACGCCCCAACACAAGCTGCTGCGCCTCCAGCTGCCCAACATGAAGCACATGAAGGTCAAGGTGAACTTCTCAGACCGGGTCTTCAAGGCTGTGTCCGACATCTGCAAAACCTTCAGTGAGTGGAAACTCTGACACGTTTTCAGTGCATCACTTAGTTTAAGAAGGCTTTAAATTCAGCGGAGCTGGAAGAAAAAGGTCACAGTGAGTATAGAGGAGGATAAATGGGAGTACTTTAGAGTATTGATGGTTAGATCTAATCTACATGGACGGACTGAAAGTTCCCACCCCAATTAACTGAAAACATCCAATGGTGACACTATTTTTGGAAATGTCCTGCATTATTCTTCGGTGATTACGTCCTTCCTTAAACTGTTTTTCTCTGGCATTTTGTTGTGTTTATTAAACACGGTCTGGTAGACCAGTCCGAGGACGTGTCCTTGAATGCAGAGCTCTATCTGTCCAGCTGTAATGTTTAGTATACAGGGATCAACCCTTCTCAGGCTTAAAGTACACTGAACTATGCATCCATATACACGTAAATAACTCTAGCTCACTGTGTTGCTACAATACCATCTTTTCTTCCACATGCTGCGGGGGTCGCACACGTCCGCAGCGTGAATATCTTGTATCAGCTGCCCTGTGCTGACATGTTAGAGTTCACGTGCTGGACCCCAGCAACCCCTGACCTGCTAACTCCCACTTTCCGCTGTGCAAACCTCACCCTCCACCCTGCCTTTTAGTCACAATCTCCTTTTGGGTTAGCGGATTTGGAGAACCCCCACCCATATAAACTCCTCCATGAGACGGGGTCACAGCACACCTGTTGTCTTTGCCATATATCAGTGTGCAACCACAGAGCAGGGACTCCAGGGGTATCTCCCCGGGTTTTATCAGTTTAAGACAAAAATGACACCTTTCTGAGTTGAACTGTCAAAAAAGGCCGTTACTGGTAGGGAGATGGGGATAGAGAGGACAGCAGTCTTTGTGTCAGCCTGGGCTGATCACGCTGAAACCTTCAGCCCCCTAGAAATGTCCAACAGATTGCTTTTAGCTGACGTGACACATGTCAGGAAGTAGAAGTCTGTTGCTTGGTGACTACGTGTGAACTTTTGTATTTACGCGACTCCTTTATTGCTCATTAGTAGTCACAGAAAATGCACAGTACCTTTATGACAATGGGCTTTGGCTACTCACAGATTATCTGGTCTGGAAGCATTTTTCATTTACTGGGTAATTTTGAGTTTAACAATTTCCTGTGAATGTTTTCTGCTGACTGGCTGTGAACTGCAAAGCATAGAGAATCAAGCGGGGACAGGAAGAGATGAGGGCTGTCCAGCTGGCCTTCGCTCCAGACAGAAGAAAGGGAGGGGCAGAATTACTCAAAGATAGAAACAGAAAGGAAAAGGCATTGGGGAGTTTTTGCCCTGACTGGTGAGAGGCTCTCCATTTGGTGTAGTTCTCACAGTGATTTCCCACACAGAAGCTGTGTCCTGTTCCAAAATAGTTGTTGTTAATTTGTTGAATATGGCTGATAGTTTTGTTTCTATCTTTGTTTTATAGCTTGAGTGATTCTTACTCTGCCACTAGTTGTTATTTGAACAAATGTTATCTCCCAAATTCAATATTAGCTCATTATATTCATTATTATCATTTGGGTATAAATCAGAAAAGCTAGTATGTTACTGAGACAGGGCATTGAGAATCAACAAAAGCTTATAAGGAATGATCACAGCTGTGCTTTCTCCGTGTAAAAAGCAGCTGTTTTCTGACAGAGACACAGTCCATCTGTGCTGACTGGGTGAGAAGAGAACTCGGCTAAAGGTTGATTTACTGTAAAATCTCAGTTCCACCCCCATTTTGACCTCTAATTCCATTTGGCAGCTCTAACATCCTCTGCTACTCTTCTAGTTAATACTCAGGAAGTTGTATGGGGATTTTCTGCTTTTAGTTTCAAAATAAATTTATTTTTACTTTTTCATCATTCTGTGGATCTTCTAACACAAAAACAAATGAAAACGCCTGACATGGGTGCTGTTTTTCTTATTAAAACTTTGAAATGGTTAATGCATTGTTACAGTTGTCCTCACACTGAGAGGAGTTGACTACAGACTTAACTCATCCTTTGAGCCAGCACAAAAATGCCCTCTTTACAACTGACTAACACATGACTGGCCTAAATAGTCTGAGGTGGGCTATAAAAAAAGCCTCTTTCATCAAATAACCACTTCAGGATAACAAGAATCAGGCTTCTCCACTCAAACATAATGTGTAAGCGGTCTTTTACTACCATATGTGCAAAAACAGACACAGTATTATTCTCTGGAACACGGTAGAACAAGCGCTATAACATTACTGAGAATCACTTAAATAACTGGAGAAACGAATGAGCAGACGTGAAATGAAAGAGATTGGAGAAAACATATGTCTCTGTCTCACACTGTAGCATGAGTTTGATGCAGGATGCTGACAGCTGAGTTATTTCTCTGGAAAGTATTTGGCCAGAGCACTTTATCCATCAGAAATCTTTCTGAATTTGTGTTGACTTTAACTTTAGTGTTTTCATCCAGCAGATTTATAGCCTGTCAACCTGCAGGCTGCTTGACTGGGCTCCAGAGTGCTGGCCACCTCTGTCAATATGGAGCGACTGCAGTTTGGCCTAAGATGCATATTCTTAAATTGAAGCATGCTACCTTTATTGCTGCTTTTTAGCACCTCATTAAATTAATCTGGTAGAAACAATGAACTTTTATGAGACTGATTGTATTTTTCTCAGATCAAGACAGAAAGGCAGTCATTTTATGTAATGGTTTATCACAAAGATTAAGCATATTGTTTTGTGAGGTCTCATCAGTCAGCCTCTCAGCTCTCATGGTGTATCTTGACTTCTAAGTATACAGTTGGGAAAGGATGATGAGGTCAAACATCTTTAATGTTTTTTTTGTCCATGTAGGGTCTCCGTCTGTTTGAACAGTAATTTCTAGTGTTGTAAAATTAGACTGTGATGGTGTTTGTAATTCTTTTGGCTAGCATTACTCACAGCAGTGAATCATCTGTTCCAAGGAGTAGACCTTCCAAGTCCAGCTGGCTCATAGTCAGACCTTCTCCTCTGGCTTCGTGCCTGGTTACTGCCAGAAGTCTGAAAGATGGACGATTGAGTTCTTATTGTCCAGGTGTCTTTTTTGCTCATCGAAATCAACTAAGATTTATTAGCACTCTGACCATCATTTACCCCTCATTCTACTGATTTCATTTTCCAAAGGACCATTAACTGAGAACTCATTTTTTAGATGATTGCATTCCTTAAAGTCATTATTGGACAATTGCTCTGACATACAGTTAAAGCATCACCAGCCAAAATCAACTATATACATCAAAGAGAAGCAAAGCATTCTACATTCTGTTTAATGGGGATATTCATTGCAATTATGACACAACTTAATTAAAAAATTGTCCTGTTTTTGGCACTGATTTTATCAATGAGAAACTACTAGAGCTTTGCTTTGAACATGCAGTTTGTTTTCTGTTGTGGAGATTATCCGGCAGACCAATAAATATTGATTACGTCTGTCATCATGACATGATGGCATAGTGAAATGCTTCTGCCTTGCTTTACCAAGGCACTGTCCTGTCCAAATATTCAGTCATACACACACTTCACTGAATGTGCTGGTCTGCTCGCATAGCTCAGTGGTGCTGCGTGGAGCTCAGGAGCACGCCTGGAACTCGCATGGCTGTATAAGGGCACAGGGACTGTGCACCAGTGCTACAGGAGAGCCAGAATGAGGGAGGAGGGTGAGCTCCCATCTGGTAGTTCTTAAAACTCCTGGAATGCTTCTGCTTTCGTTACACAAACCAAACAAACTTTCTCACCAACTCAAGATGTCCTCTCCACCCTGCTGTTTGTCCTCTCTTCAACACCTTTACAACCTCTTTGGCCAGTCTTCATCACCATAGCAAAATAAAGAGTGATTTATTTCTGCCAACGGGAGACACTTGTATGTGGAACAAAGTGAAAATAGTTGAAAATGTCTCTCTAGTACTGGCATGCTCTGTGATTCATGTGGAATCCGTGAGAAAATCGAATGCACCTGAGTGTCCAGATGTGCTTGCTTCATCCCATCCTCCATCTATTCTCATTCTGACACTTTCTGGCTGCCTCGATCCCTCCAGCAGGAACATACCATCTTTGCTGCTGCTGACTGATGGCTCCCTGGCCTTCATGTCCAAACGATGGAGAGCAGTGAAAGAATAAGAGGAGAAAGAAGCCAGTTGACTGCCTGCAGCTTTAGTCATCATATCTACATGGTGTCTGTCTCTTTTGGACCTTCCACACGGAGACTGTTGTGCAGTTGAAGTTATTTTAATTTAGAAAAAACTTCTTTCGATTCATTTCTGTAGTTGCTTGTTGATGAGGTCTTTGTGTATCACCAGCAGTAGTTGAATTATGTTTTGATGAGCATTAAATAGCATTTACAGAAGACCGAGCTCGTATCTGCCTTGCCTCAGTAGGGGATTGCAGTTAAAGCAAAATTTTTTGGGGCCCAGAGAAAAGGGATTTACAATTTTCCACCCTTCGTGTGCACAGCTGTTAAACGTTCCTTCCCATCAACTCTGTTCTTTTGCTCTTTCTCTCTCCCTCTCACAGTTTTTTACCTCAACTTAGCGTCCATATCTTTCTGTATTATATAGTTTCCACTCATTGTTTGAGTGCACTTTGACAGATGTGAGACGGTGGTTTATTTAAAACCTGTAGTTGGGGGAGAAAGCACAAATTACTGTTTTTGTGACTTTTATGACTTCAAAACCTGCATATTTCAGTGTACAGACTGACTCAGTGCACTTGAGGTGACGTTTATGTGGCATTAAACGTACATGCTCTGTGTCTCACACCCCCTGCAGATATCCGCCACCCAGAGGAGCTGTCTCTACTGCGCAAACCCCGTGATCCTAAGAAGAAAAAGAAAAAGTTGGAAGAGGCAGAGGAGGACGATCTGGAGCTGGAGGGTCCACTTTTGACTCCTGGATCAGGTGAGCTGCATTTTGCCGCTTGATATGTTTGCTCCAAGAATACCATCAGCCATTCGTGCCTCTAATTACAAAGTGAAAACTATTTGATAAAGAGAAATAATTGATTTTATCAACCTAAATCTACACATTCAGTTTTTTTAAGGTTCTTGTTAACTATTTCATTGTGCATGTGATACTTTTATTCCCCCTCAAGCAGCAGGTTGAACAGCAGGTTCTGCTGGCTCTCATGGAACCTCCTCCATTCTTCTGTGTTCTGGTGCACTTGTGGTTATGAAACCACTAAGATAACTCCAGATTGCTTCAACCCAGCCCTTTACTTACCAAATACGAACGTGTGAGTTTGAGGCCTGCATGGGATCGACAGCCATGGCTTCCAATTCCTTGGCAAGGAGGACTAAGCATGGTTGAGATTCCACACATAGCTGGCCACGCTTCCATTTTAAACCCAAACCAGGCAACATGAGTGCAGTTGTTATGGCCCTCCTCCTTCCTGCTGTGAGTGATGGGAGTTCCAGCCACATGAGCAGGGAGGAGTAGAACAAAACGGGCTGAACTGCTGTCACTGAGATATATGCAGGGAAAAATGCTAACACTTTAGGACAGGGTGAAGAAGATTCTTTGTGCGAATCGTCTCCTATTTTCTGCTGTGTTTGCCCAGTGTGAATTGCTCAACTTTTTTGTTCAGTCACAAGTAGGTGGAAAGAGACCTGATCAGTCACTATAAACTTGAATTAGAGAGGTTGTCACAGTCAGGTAGAAGAAATCCTTTAGAAATGGATGAAAGAAAATGGAGAAAGCGAGCCCTGTGTGACAGCAACAGTGCGCCCAGAGTTACATCATCCATTAAAAGGGTGTGATTGGTTCTTCTGTTTGTTCCCAGTGGGTAAATGTAATCACTTTTGGTGGTGTGGAGAAAATGTTTCAACTGAACGTCAGCAGCCTTCCTTTGTGTTCAGTGTAGTTGCGTGCGTTTCTGTTTTTCCTGCTGCCCTCCTGTCAGATCACATGTTACAGTCGGAGATTATTTCATGGCATGGCTGTAAGACATTATTCCGTCCCTTGTGAGGAAGAGCTGGCCTCCTGGCCATGGTCTCCTGATTGAAATCACAAGGCCTTTCAGAGAGGCAGAGATCCAAACAGAATCAGTCTTCTCCTTTCCCTTTCCCCGCATTCAGTAAGATGTCAATCACACAAAGAGCTGCAGTGATCAGAGGAGGAATCGGTCAGTCAACTGAGAATTGTTCTGCTACAATTTGATTATGAATTTATTGTTAACAAGCCCAAAATCACATCTCCCCCGTTAACATCTGTTCAGTGGAAATAATATCCCTCCTTTATTTCATCATAATATAATTTTGAAAAGAACAGTTGCTTGTCGAGCAACACAACCAGCTGGTCAATAAAATTACCAGTAAGTGACTTAAAACTCTAAAGCTATTTTATCTTCAATGTTCCCCTGAGTTGTTTGTTGTTTCTTTATTTATAGGAGAGGAAGGAAAATCTCTATCCAATGAACTTGAGTACTTCCAAGTGTCGTAGTCAGATGGTGACACAAAGCCATACGGGTTACCTGGACATTTATTTCCAGTTAAAGGCCTTCTGTAGTTTTCCAAAGCCTTAATTTCATCTTTAAATATTCCTGGTAGGAAAGTCTATGTCCTCTGTGAGTCTGCACACTCAGCTGTTGTTATGACTCACACTAAGAGCCATTACATTGCCCATAATGACAATCCATCAAGTCCCAGTAGGCCCACCGCATCTTGGCGTGCCTGTTCTATATTAAGAATGACGGGCCTCAGACAGCCAACACTTTCTATTTACGCTGCAGTTTTCACATGCAGAGATGAGTTATGTTGACCAAAGTATTGCACTTGTCAGATTACCAGAACCATCTCCCTTAGCACGGCGGGCAAACTGAATCATCCACTCTGAGGTGACAATATTTAGAGAAATGTCACGAACTCTTCTATCCTGTGTTCTTCAACTTTTGTCTTCTCTCCCATTCCCTTCTGTCCTTGAAGAGTTTTCATTATCTGAAATCTGTCCTGTTTTTGTTTGTTTCCTTTCCGCTTCTTCCTTCCACTTTCCCTTGTCTTTCTTTCTTCCTTTTTCCTTTTATCCTAGCCTCTGAGATAATATACATCGGACCTGTCAAAGGTAAGCACTCCTCTTCCTCTATCCTTTTCTCTTCAGCACTGCTTCCTCACCCTGCTCCCCTCTCTCTCACAGCTGGAGTGTTAAGGTCACATGGCATCCAGAACCTTAAGCACTGGCAGCCCAGTCACCTGACTGTTCCCGTAAAGGAAGTCAGCTGATATGGTTTTTCTGTTGATTAATGATGTCCCATTAGAAATGAGCTTGAAACCCCCCATTATTAATGCTCCTTTAGGCATACTCACTGTGCCTTCTGACTGATGTGCTGGCTAGCAAGTCACGCTTTATCCAGTTAAAGCTCTGCTGGAAATTGCAGAATGGCCATAGGTTGAAACATCATATGTGTTTGTTTATGAGCAGTTTACTTGTTGCTTTAATATTTGTTTATGGAATGAAATTTGCATTATTTCCATCCTGTCTACAAACTTGAACTTTTCAGTCCACACAGACACTGTGAAAAATGAATCCACATGGGAGTTATTTATTGACAGTTTTCGCATAGTTTACTTTGAGCTGATGGTGGTCCATGTGACCCCTCTGTGAATCCTCAGACCGGGAACATTCAGTAGTAAAGTCAGACTAACATTCTTTCGGCCTAGTTGCCGGCTCTGGAGTTGGTAAACAGGATGGAGGAGGCCCTGTTGTGTTTTTAGAGGAATGCCAGCTTTCACCTTATACGTGGTTTCTCTGGATAGTTAGCATTCTTCCAAAGCCTGTGTGAGAAGAGAGTTCTCTCCCTGACCTGATGAACTCGGCATTTGCAGGAAACCTTGAAGGAACCGCTAGATAACACCCTCCCCCACATTGAATGGCCGGTCAAAACCTACACCCCGTTCACATGACCTCAGCACACTAACACAAACCAAGCCCACTTCCTTATTTCAAAAGGGATTTAGTTGTTTAGCCAATGTTGCTTCTTGACCCAGACCCCACAGTGAGTGGGAATGGAGGGGGATGTGGCCAGAAATACTCTACAAGGTCAACCAACAGGAAATGCAAACTGCTTCACTTTAGTGGCTTATATTCATAGCCAGTTAGGGTGGAAAAACTAAAGAAAAAAAGGACATTCCAATGTTTGCATTATTTCGAGATAGAGATCTGCATTTTTTCAAACATCTTTATCTTATAATTGATGCATTTGCTTTCCATTTTGTTGCACTCCCCCTCTCCTGTGGGCAAATTGTGCCATATTTTTGCTGTGTGCAGTGCATTCCTGCAAGTGTTGTTTTCGTTTGACTGTGCATATGTAGGAGACCTTGTTTACATTGTTCATCATTTGCATGCCGATCCACATCAATCGCACCAAAGCAAGAGGACATTGTTGAAGTCACTTATTTGCAAAGGGCTGGCTGGTAGTCACATGGCGTTGTTGACCGCTGGCTGTACTGGATAGGCTGCAACCGTGTGCTTTTACAGAGACCTTTTTGCTTCTATTTTTAAATGTCCACAGAATTGGATTGTGTTTAATACATGGCTGTTTTGAGAAATAATTAATCATGGAAGCGCTTTTGCGCAATTTTGCTGTAGATATTTTCATTTTTCATACATCAGAGATATAATTGATGGGTTTCAATTTTTAGGGAGCATCTACTCTAGTCCAGGATTGTACAGCAAGACAATGACCCCAACCTACGACTCCAGGGACGGCAGCCCCCTGTCGCCCACCACGGCCTGGTTCGGGGATAGCCCCCTGTCTGAGGGCAATCCCAGCATCCTCGCTGTCAGCCAGCCAATTTCCTCACCAGACATCCTGGTCAAACTCTACAAGCCCCAGTCACTGCTGGACAAAGCCAAGATCAATCAGGGGTGAGATGATGTTTGCTTTGTGGTTTGGCTAAACTGTTCATCCTCACAAACTCTGCCGTGGTTGTAGAACCATTAGGATCTGTGGAGCTGACTGACAGAGTGTTTGTCCTCACTTACTTACCAACTATGAATGTTGCTCTCCAGATGGCTGGACTCATCCAGGTCTCTCATGGAGCAGGATGTAAAGGAGAATGAAGTGCTGCTCCTGAGGTTCAAATACCACAGTTTCTTTGATCTCAACCCAAAGGTAAGAGCCACAGAAAAAGCCACACAAGTTCACTTTTAAAGCAGGGATGTTAAAACTTTGGTCCTCGAGAGCTACTCTCCTGCAGGTTTTAGATGTTTTGCTGCTTCTACACACCTGGATTAAATCAGCGCACCATTGGCAGATTGTAAAGAATTTAAGAGGCCAACGGACTGACAGTAAGAGATTTATTTCTATTGAAATCAGCTGTGTTGAGGCAGGGAAACATCTGAACCCTGCAGGACAGTGGCCTTCGTGGACTGGAGTTTGAAATCCCTGCTTTAAAGTCAGCTGGGGGCACATTGAAGACACCATGCCATTGGATGAAAGAGCAAGAGATTTTATTTTATTGCTGTTTTACAGCATTTTGTGCAACTTCATGATTCATCAGTGTGTTATAGATGACATTAACGTCATACAGTGATGTAATTGTAATGTAACGGCAAACAGAGGTGTTAGTGTTAGGGTTAGTTAGTTTCCATCATTGGCTTGAAGTAGTGTTTCTCAATTCAAAACTCAGGGCATGAAGCAGTGTTGTCCCGTATTTCAGTATGGGGTCGTGTTTGTCCGCAGTATGATGCCATCCGAGTTAACCAGCTCTACGAGCAAGGGAAGTGGGCCATCCTGCTGGAGGAAATTGAGTGCACAGAGGAGGAAATGATGATGTTTGCTGCCCTGCAGGTAAGAACACAATGTTTTTGTAAAGGTTTTAGTCATTTGTCCAGTTTCAGAATTTTGGTGTAAACGTCTGACATTTGAAGACCTGCAATCTTTTTTCAATGGACAATGAGTAGATGGCCTTGCGAGCTAATGAATTAAATTGGATTTGAGCCCAGACCTGAGCCATATGGCCACGGGTTCTGCCACAGCATGCATTCTAAAACTTGGCTTTTGTATAGTATTGCAGAATGAGTTAATGTGGGGCCATTATCACAATTGTTCCCTCAGGGATTCTCAGTATGTCTTCTGAGAGTTTCATTCTAGGGTTGTTGCCGGAATTATTATTATTATTGTTGTTATTATTTAACTTTTGCAAAAAGAAAATGAAAAAAATCTCAATGTAAAAAAAATCAAATCCCATAATCTCAATATAAATGAACAATTTACAATTCTGACATATTATCAGAACATCCAGAAAACCCTCCAGACATCTGCGTTGGTACTGCAGGGCTGGTTGGAGCTGGATTTTATATACACCATCTTTACTACTACAATTTTCTTACACAAATTTAAGCAAAGGGGAAAAATGGAAATATGAGAATGGATAGAAGAGGGACCCATTCTCCAGACATGCTTTATCCCATTGTGGACAGGTGGAACAGGTTGCCAGTGAAAGGGGAACAGTTGAGTGAAATGCAAATGTTAACCCCTTTTGCTCCCTCATGTTTCCGCATGTAGTCTGAGGGTGGTGCTCTTACTATTTCTGACCATCATAAACTGTGGGTTCCAAGACCTGAGGACGCCACCCTGTTCTCACCCTGAGGGTAATTATAGTGCGTCTTGTGCCACGGGACCCCATGCCTTAGTGCAGACCACCCACCCCAGCAAGACATGGTCTTACAAACCTGCTCAGATTCTTTTTAAACGCCCTCTAACACTCTGAGGTGTCAGGTGTTTCCTCACACCAGCATCTGATGGATGCTGATCCGCGCTGGGTGTTTCGACTACTTGCCGCTCTGTTTCTACATGTCTTTTAGCACTTTGTTAGCCGTGTCTGCATTTCGCCCGGTTTGTATGAGCTCAGGGGTTTTGGCTAAGGTTTCACAGTTAGGGGATACCAGCGTCTAAATAGAGAGCAATGATCGTCCAAATCCAGTAAACTGCTGATGGGTGTTGACATTCCATCGCCTAGATTTTTCCCTTAGGTAGGTCACAGAAATTAGGTAATCGAGTAAAGAACACTAACTGACCTCACTGTCTGACACATACAGGAAACAAGCCTCCTAAGGTTGCAAAAAAAAAAAAAAAGACCAACAAAACGTTGGAATGAAGAAGCAGAGGATTGAGGTGTCATATTGAGCCCTTTGTCACAGATCCTGCAGACTAATACTTCTCGTGTTTCTCTAAAATGCAGTTCTATAGCTTTCAATCTCTCTGCAGCTGTTCATTCATATATTGGTGGGGAGTTGGTGAGTTGGTGATGAGATATTATAAATAACATTTGTCAACAAGCTTTATTTAGTGCCTGTGACTCACTCTGGTTTTCTGTAAAGACCCTGTCCGGCTGAATTGGAGTTTCCGTTGTTACACGAGAACATCTCTCATGCCAACAGTCATACCCTCTGAAAATGTTTTCTGTTTTGTTTTACACTTCAAAGGCGTGCCATGGACACATTATTCAGACCACAGTGCTTATTACTCATAACTCATTTACTCTTTGTAGCTACTAATCATTGTCATATCCTTCTCTGCCTAAAGAAAATGGAAAAAAGGCATCACTGCTATATGCGTGAGGAGCACATGAGCACGCTGGCACGAATGCCAGTTTCTAAACTATTTATATGGCAATTATTACAGACTAGCTCCCTTTTTAATGGAGGAAGTTGTGGGATTTTTGCACCGGTAGCACACATCCTGGCAAATTTACCAGGAATCAGCAAATGTGTACAACAAGTTACGGTTGGCAGTTAATCTGACTACATCTTGTTCTCTTTGTACACCTCAAAGCGTCTTTAGTTGTTTATTGAGGGTTTAATATTTGCGAAGGGGCTGTGAAAATGAAACTCTTATATTCTGTTGGTTTGCAGAGATGTGGGGTTGATGGGCTTTAAATAATTGAGAGCTTAAAAAGAAATGTTCTCCTAACCGGGGTGATCCCCCTCTCCCTTGATTTTGCAGTACCACATCAACAAGCTGTCAATCATGTCCTCAGACAATCACATGAATAACAGTGAGAAGGAGGTGGATGAGGTGGATGCAGCCCTGTCTGATCTGGAGATCACTTTGGAGGGAGGAAAGACATCCAACACATTGGTATGAGATTGCCAACAGAATCACCATCATCAAATTAGTTTTTTTTTTTTTTTATGTACCTTTAGTTATCAATGTGTAACTTTTCTCTTCCTAATTGGAAGTGCTTGGCACTGCTTTTGAACCATTGTCATTATTTTGATGTAGTCTGCTTCATCAGCAGCTTTAGTACGAGAGAGGAAATTTACCCAGACAAGGCCTCACTTCCAGAAGTGCAAAATTGAACATTTATTTATTAGACCTGTATCCGATTCAGAGTTGAGCTGAAAAGGGATTTGCCACAACAGACCCAGCCAGGGACTAATTTAATACGTTTATGCTGCCCACCACTCCAGTCTTGGAAAATTGCTAAATTTATACAGCTTGTGAAGGCAAACATTATGACGAGGATTGTTGTCTTTTGCACACACTGCTCCACAGCGACATTGAGACCTACAAACTTGAGCAAAATATTATCTTTTGCTTTGTATTTAATGCTTATCCATGTTCTTACTCTTTCAGATACAAATCTTCCAACCTTACACTAACAATGTTTTTTTCCCCTTTCCCTTAGGGTGACATCACATCTATTCCTGAACTAGCAGACTATGTCAAAGTCTTCAAGTAAGTCCAGTCGCAGAGGCACCCGGTTCAACGAGGCTATGTGCGCTTTCTCTGTTAACCAAAATGCGAGAACCAGAAAGTGAGACTTAACGGAGCCATGAGGCAATCTTTTTTAATAGTGAGAAATCTTGCCTGTTCTGCATCTGGGTAACAGACTGACCACCATTTGCTGGGGTTGAGCTTCTAGTTGTGTTCTCCAGTGTGATCACAGTTGGAGAATGTTTTCAATCCTCTCCATCCTTGGCAAGAAGACTTTGCTGACAGGCATGTGGCCCCTGGGGAGGTTGTCCCATAAAATGTACAGTATAAAATTGGGAGGAGAATGATATCAAGGGGCACTTCCTCTTTAATGGATTTACTCAGAGTTGGCAGCTTCCTTCCCACCTTGCAGACTCTGCACTTTTGAATCTCTCTCTCTCCTCTTTGTACTCTCTAATCCCCCCTTCCCCACTCTTCCTGTTTGCCACCATTAAAGAAAATGAGCGTTTTTCCACCTGAATTCTGATGTGTCTCTGGTCTGTCTGCTTTATATGTCTAGACCCAAGAAACTGACGCTCAAGGGCTACAAGCAGTACTGGTGTACATTTAAGGACATCACAATTTGTTGTTACAAGAGTAAAGAGGAGTCACATGGGACACCTGCTCACCAAATGAACCTGAGAGGTGCAGATCCACAAATATTTTCATACCTACACAGCAAAAATTTTATGTAATGCCCATGCCAGAGTGTAATGCTTTATCTGCCTTACATGTTGTGTGTGTGTATGTGACCTTTGAATTCTTCTTTCTGTCTCTGACTTCCTGTTTAGGTTGCGAGGTAACGCCAGATGTTAATATCTCTGGTCAGAAATTTAACATCAAGCTGCTAATCCCTGTAGCAGATGGCATGAATGAGATCTGGCTTCGGTGCGACACGGTACGGCTTAAGTTAGTACACCTTTGCTATCGTTTCTTTTCCCTTGTCAATGCCTTTTATCATGTTTTTACCTTTCAACTCTAGGAGAAACAGTATGCGCACTGGATGGCTGCCTGTCGCTTGGCCTCCAAAGGCAAGACCATGGCCGACAGCTCGTACAACCTGGAGGTCCAGAACATTTTGTCCTTCCTCAAGATGCAGCACATGAACCCTGATCCTCAGTTCATTGAACCAATCACCAGTGACATCAACCCAGAGTGTCTGGTGTCACCCCGCTACCTTAAGAAGTACAAAAACAAGCAGGTAAGTCAGCCGAGATATTTGTCTGTTTGCCTTAAAGTATACCAGTGTCGAATGTGTGTTCTCCAGGGGCTATTCCCTCCTGTTTTGTGTTGGTTTTGGCATTACATGAAGAAACATGTGATGCTTCTCAGACAGGCGCCTCCTGGTATCAGAGCTGTCGTCCATTGGAATGGAGACCCCCGTCTTTACTTTCCTCTCCTCCTTCCAGTTATTCAGCCCAACCCCCTCAAATCAAGGGGAAACCAGGTCAACAGGCGTCCAAAAGGCTCAAAATGTTGCCTTCAAATCTACTTATGTCAAACCATAACATTGTTTCTCCTGTGGTTCTTAATCCACTCTGCTTAATGTGCTTGTGGACAAAGGCCTTGAAAGGCATAGATCTCAGACATCCCCATTGTAGATTCAATGTCTTGTAACAAAGAAGTACAATCAATCCAAGGACAGCTGTGTGCTACAGTCCATTTTGATATCCAGGTGTGATATTTGATTCCTGACAAGGAACTAATTTTTTTCCAAACGTTGGTACAACTCCACAGTATGCCCAGCAGATTTGCATGCAAACAAATAGACTGCAGTGTATACACTTGAACAGCTGAGTACACAGCTGCCACGGTCATGTTAGCCGGGGATGGGTGAGGCAGGCCGCCGCCTCCCCTTAGCTTACGTACTCAATCTGGATTTGTTTAAGTTGTAGTAGAAATGTGGAATGTTGCCAGAGGGCTGGAAGGATGTCAGGAAACGGCTGGTACAGTACGTGATGACTCGGAAGTGCTCTGGACCCAGGCTGAAATTTCCTAAGTCAGATGTAGACACAGATGAAAGATAAGAGCAGAAGAAATGTATTTAAAACCGAGAATGTTTGAGAGCAAAGTCACCATGACACTGGAGAAAAAATTCTAAAAATAAATGTACATGTGTTGCACATCAGCTCAGGTTTTTCTGATTTTTCTCCCACTGAAAGTCCACTTTAGGGTTGTGGAATGTTTTATGTCTGCATCTGACAGTGGGCCAATAATAAGGAATGCCAATTTAATACACTGGCCCCTACAGAACTTATGCTCTCTGCAGTAATTTAGAAGATTAATGCATATCGCCACTTGCAATCAGCCACCATGGATTGGAAATATCAGTCATGCTCATTTATTAAATACTATTGTAACAGTATTTATTAAAAGGATTATAGGAGAGAGGATTGTTTAGGTCTTACTTCAGCCAACTGTTTTGGTGGACCACTGTGTGAGCTGGTGCCTCTCATAAATACTCCTTTCCTAACTTGATCCTGCTGAACACCCAGTGCACCTGAGGGTGTGTTTGGACTCCAGAGGTTTAATCTGAGTGAAGCAAACAGGTTCTATGTCTGGTTTGATTACTAGAACAAATGTAAACATGTCACATGAACACTGCAACAAACAAGCAGACCGAGACAGCTTGAAAAAGTGGGTCTTTCACTCCCAAGAGAACTCTTCTGGGCTTCTGCTGACATATGAACACCACACAGACGGCAGACACTTAAACACACCACAGTTGGTGCTCATTATTCTATTTTTCCCATAGCGGCTCAGAAAAGGCCCGTGCATATCTTCTTTTTGTGCTAACACCATTTGGATTCTAAATATTAATATACTTTCTTGACATATCGATGTTGATGGGCTTCTGTTTATGTGTCTGCATTTAGCAGACACATTTGTCCAAAGCGACTCACAAAGTAGACACAATGTTACAGTTATCATCAGTGTTTTCTGCAGGCACATCGAATAAATAATGTTTTACTCTTTTTGTGTGCGTCTGTATCCTTATGCTCACACACGTGTGTGTGTGTTTGCGTGTGTGTGTGTGTGTGTGTGTGTGTGTGTATGCTCGTGTAGAGGGCGTGGGTCAACGGGAAATGAGCCCTGCTTGGGAATGCTGCGCGGGAAAACTGTCTGGGAAAAACCAGTTAGCTCCTTAGTCAGCTGCAACCCCTCCCCATCTCTCCTCAAACTGGACTTCCTGTTGCACTATTTGACTGAGGAGACTTCCGTGCTCCAGCTTCAAGCGGATGCACACTCAGGAATTTTTAGATTACATGGACTGAGGCGGTTTGAAGTCAAATTTATACATTTACGCGCACAGAAAAAAGGAAATGGGAAAATGCTTTAATAGCATTTGAAACCACTCCACCTCTAAGAAAAATCTCCCTGCTCCAACTGCTGGTGGTACATGTCGCCCTCTTATGGATGTCGGAGAAACAACAACTTTCTGATTGTTTTTATGGTCATGTGGAAGTCTTTAGAGAAGAAAGACCTGAAATCAACAGTGCCAGTGTCTGTTTCACCAAAAGGATTTTATTAACAGGTTTTTTGTAAGATTCTTCCTCTTCTGTGTTAGAACACATGTATTCTGAGTGCTGCTTTGTTCTCCTTCCTGTGGCTGTGTGCTGCATGGCGCCTCATCTTTGCAGTCCTTCCAGCAATGCTGTTTTATTTGATTTCATTTTTTTTTTTTTTACAGTTGTGGTATCCTGCATTGTTGTATTTATTTCGTTATTTTTCATCCTTCCTCCCTTGACTGTGATCTTAATTGCCTGTTCTCTTTCTCCAAACTTTCTTTTCTCTCTTTTGTCTGCATCTCTGTCATACCTCTGTGTCTTCCCCTTCCCTCCTCCCCCTCTTCAGCCAGGCTATATCAGGGACTTGGTAAGTTACGTGTCCACTGGGTGCCTTGAAGCCTTAGATATGTGCATGATTGTGTAAACGTTCTGTGTCCGGGTCGTCCCGCCTAACAGTTAAGAATAACAAGTCATTATCTGTCACAGTAGAGTAGAAAAATGCTTCTGTTGGTCATTTTTTTTGTCACTGGAGTGTGTTTCCAGGGGCTGTAAAACAGGGGAGTAACACACAAAAGGATTAAGTGTACGGTACATCGGAGCATCTGCATCAGTTGACGGCAGCATACGTAGAAAAATACATACAGGGATGTTTCGGTTTATCACACACATCAATTTTACTCCAATTATCCGTAATACTGCCGATTTATTAAAGCAATATATCAGAATTCAGACTGAGAGTGTTAAAGATTATTGAACTTTATTGTACCGCTTTGATAGATGCTTGTTTTTATCTAAAAGTCTGTAATGTGAGCATAGAGAACAGACTTCCACAGGCAAGTTATCCATCAAAGTGCAGAAAACAAAGTAATTTTTTTAAAACTCAGCGCAGTCATATGATAGTTTAAGGGTTTTTTAATAGATGAGCTGTTGAGTTTTCATATCCTTTTGGAATAAGCATATTGCCTATTCTGAATGTTTTTGTTTTGTATGATGCATGCATGCAAACTCACATAGTTTAAAAGCTTTTCTGGCTCTTTAACCTTAATCGGCCCCCTCAGGGTGCTCACTTCCTTTTTCTTTCTTAGCTGTGTGAAGTAGACACTTACCGTGAAGGCTCTCTTGTTATTTACAGATTGTCTCTGGTGGCTTCGTGGAGTCAGACGGCTTGTTTACACATGGGGAGTGTGTGGGGGTATAATGGTGGCGCGTGTGTTTTTTTTTGTTATTGGAGTGTGGTGATGGGACACGTTTGTTTATGGGAGTGGGTTAAGAATTAAGAGACAGGGGAATGAGGAAAAGTCATAATGCGTACGCTCGTTTCTTTTCCAGATTTCTGCCCGGATTCTCGAAGCCCACCAGAACGTGGCCCAAATGAGTCTCATCGAGGCCAAGATGCGCTTCATCCAGGCATGGCAGTCCCTGCCCGAGTTCGGCATCACTCATTTCCTCGCAAAGTACGATTTGCCACTTCTAACACATAGTCATAGCTCCTCACTGCTATTTGAATTCATCTGACATTGCATTGTGTCTCTCGCTGTCGCGCAGGTTCCAGGGCGGAAAGAAGGACGAGCTGATTGGAATCACCTATAATCGTTTGATCCGGATGGATGCCCACACAGGAGATGCTATCAAGACCTGGCGCTTCAGCAACATGAAGCAGTGGAACGTCAACTGGGAGATCAAAATGGTAGGGAAACCAGAAGAACTTACTAACAGCCTTGTTTTCAAGCTAACTCAAAAGTCTTCAGGAAAATCCCAAATGTCACCTGACTGCTGTGTCGGAGGCCATGTGGTCTGCAGTACAGCGTGAGGATCCTGTATTCGTTTTTAGCTCTGACCCAGATCTGACCACCGTGCTGTGCTCCGTGTGCCCAGGTGACGGTGGAATTCGCAGACGAGCCGAGTCTGTCTTTCATCTGTGCTGAGGTGGACTGCAAGGTGGTCCACGAGTTCATCGGCGGCTACATCTTCCTGTCAACTCGCGCCAAGGACCAGAACGAGTCACTAGACGAGGAAATGTTCTATAAGCTGACCAGTGGCTGGGTCTGATCACCTCCAGAGCAGCAGCGGTCACTGAGTGCAGGTCTGGGCCTGGATTGGAGTGTCTGGGCTGGGAGGGGAATCTGAATGGTATTTGTTTATTTTATTGTATCTCTCCGTCTTTTTAAGTGTTTGGAACTGTGCTGAAGAGTCCAGAAACAGCACGGTTATTGTCTTGGCTGATTTTTATTGCGTTCTTTTTTTTTTCTTCTTTTTTTTTCAGGGGAGGGGGCTGTTTTGCATTCATTCTGGCATTCTGTTTATTACTCCACTAATCCTCTTGTGGATAGAATCCACAGGAACCCCTGCAGTTAAGCAGGAGCCTCGTGCTAGTCTCAACCACCACCTCTCTCCTCTCCTTTTGCAATGATGCCCACCAACTTGCATCCATGCCGACCATTTAAACATCTGAACTAAACCCAAAGAATTTTCCTTTTTTTTTTCTTTTTCTTTTGATCCTTCCCCTTCTCTTCCCCCATCTTTCTCTCACCATCATTAAAACAGTTTTAATGAAAGGTGACACTTTTACTCATGGCCACATCAGAATATTTATCGTAAACGGTGGACTCCAGCAGAATCAGAGGGTACCTGTAATAGCTGCGGCCGCCCACTGCAGCCACACACGTCCACCCTGTTCACTTTTGAATAATTTAATCTCTTGAATACACGCATAAGCACTTCTCACTACACAGTCCTGTTACGAATAAGCTGTTTTGAGAAATTTCTTTGCCTCTGATGTCTGTCTGTTTCACAACAGTTTGAACCCCTCCCTTTTAAATATGTATTCGCTGACAGACGAGGCATCCTGAGCCTCGTTTTGTATTTAATGGAGGTATGAGCATGAATGACAACAGCCCGCAGTAGAACTCCTCTGCTGGCTGTGAGAGCTTTGTTTCCAGCTAATGTAAATGCTCTTTCAGTAAAAAGTGTTCATATTAAAAGGTCATTTAGTCTAGTTTTCTTTACAAACAAGTTGTTCAAACTTTTTCATTTTGGAGGTATAATAAAGTAGATTTTAAAAAGCCTCATTCCATCAGCAGGTGTTAAGCTTCTTTTTAAAAATGTGACATGTTTAATCGTGATTATTTCAAACTGTTTTTTGTTTTGTTTTTCCATCCTGTGACTGCTAAGTGCACGATGATGTGCCAAAGTGCGTTATTGATTTGCCAGACATGACTGATTTAGCCTGGGTCTCCCCCGTGTATGTGTCATTATAAAGTTTTCTACACTACATGACAGAAGGGACACAATCACAATCCCTCGTAGCAGCTCCTCCATTTCTGCAGTTCTGTCTCTCACACCGTATAGTATTATATCGTTGTTATGAACACACCAGCAAAAGGTCACAAATGAAAAAAAAAAAATTAAGTATGCAAAAAAAAAAAAAAAATTGGGGGGCAGGGTGAGTCTGTCCTTAGTATGAAGGATATATAAATGAAGTATTACCGTTTTTGTAACTAATGTAAAAAAACACAAACATTTTATAGAGTTGTACAGTTGTTTTCTGCTTTTGGGGATTTGGATGTTTTTCCTTTCAGGGAAAGGGGGTAAGCCATCTGTCAACATGTGTAGTCTTCAGAATTGTGCCTGCGTATGTTGTGGTCTTACTGAGTTTTCAGATGAAGTTATATATATGATATAATTATGTATGTATGAAGATGTCACCGGTCTCAAACTCCAGTTGTGTGTCTATTTTTTCCTTTAAATAACTGATTTATACAAAGCTTGATCCTCTTTTTCTTGCATTTGGGCCCTGTTATTTCTAGTTAAAAAAACTGACCCTGTTTTTCTTCACGGGGCTCAGCTTTGTTTTGCTTTACGCTTTTTAAAATGCTTCACATAACTGCCTTTTTTTGTGTTAAAACTGACATTAGCCATGTAGTGATGATCACATGAAGGAAACCCTGGAGTTTGAGACAAATTGGTAAACAAATTTAACTGTTGAAAGAAGCCTTTTTTCTTTTCATCTCTGACATTGTTTGCCTTCAACAGTGCATGACTGTAAAAATGCATTTATTTTAAAAAAAATAATAAAGTAATTTTTATTTAAACTTATTGAGATCTGACCCTGATTTTATTAGATGAGTTATTTTGTAGCCAAAGATGAATGACGATTATCAGTCTTTAGCTGAACTAAGTCACTGAACAGTTGATATGAAGAAGCCTCTGGTTGAACACGTTTGTTTTAGTTGTGTCAACCACATTTGCAGCATCTTCTTTGCACATGCAGCTGTGTGTTCTTTGTGTTCCTCAATATTTATTTCATTTCATAAAGAACCATCCCGCTGAAGGACCCTGTGGGGATTCTTTATGGACTGCAGTAGGGGTGGAAGTCACGCTCTGTATTAATGCTGTCTGAGTCACTGAACTGCTGAATTACACCAGTAACTCCTGCCACAAGTCGGGAAATGACTTTATCCATTTTGAGGCTTAAACGGCAATAAATGGGCTATTCATGCCTTCGTATTAGGAGGGCAGCCTGCACTGCTCTAATTAGAAGTACAATTTCTAAGCAGAAGTCTCCAACCCCCCTTCACTTCTTTAGATACTGAGAAAAAAGCTGGAAATGGACTCAAACAATAAGGTATATATGCCAAAAACACTTTAATATTCCATCTCTAGCCTTCATGGTAGTCTGAACTGTCTCAGAATTGTTTTTGTCTTTTCTGTGGGTATTCTTCAGGAATAGTTTTCCAGGCTTCTCGAAAGACATTCCGAGGCTCTTTTCTCTGGTTCTCTGTCAAGACAATTCCACAGTGCATCAATAACGCTGAGGTCGAGGCTCGGGGGAGGATTCATCCCTTGATAAGATCGGTTGCCCCTGACAACAGGTGAAAGGCAGAGGAACGTATTGAGAACAGTACTTTTCAGATACTGTTTTGTGCTTCAGGCCTGCTTTGTCTTATTTTAACCTCTCTTTGCACAGTTTCTGTCACTTTTCACTTTTTTTTTTTTTTTTAGAGACGTCACTCTCAATAAACAAAGTCGTGCTGCCAGTGTGGAAAAGAACACATCACCCACACACTGTTGATGCTACCATATGAAACTCTCCGAGTAGCCACTGTGATTTCCATTTTTTAAAAGTTGTATAATAAGGTGAGCTATCAAGAGGCTTATGGACTTTTAGTATTTAAAATAGTTATTTTAGCTTTTGCCCCAGGTTTGATATTTAGCTACAAAATGCACCGCAAAACTCTGCTCTCCTAACATATTGCAAATGCACTGACTGTGTTTCTCCACTAGATGGCAGCGTTGCAACAGAAGGACTGTGTTCTCTCCACCTCCTGCCAGTCCGATGCCTGAGCATTCAGAACCTGAGGGCTCGATCCTGCCAGAAAAAACCAACAGGCGGATTGAGGAGATCACCCAGTCTGTCTATTGGCTTGTCCACTCCTCCACGGCGAACAGAGCTTAAGTCAGCCGGGACACGGAGGTGTCAGTGGTGATGATGAGCTGATGTTCTCAGAAGCATCAGGCCTGTGGACTGTCATCACAGAATAGATAGGTTCAGAATGGGAAGCCATGGAACAATTTAAAGATGAAAATTATTAACAAAACCGAACAAGTTATGTATCTTAAAATAAAAATAATTTTTCGGGTCCATCTAACGAATGATTTTGTCATTCAGAGTGCTTCCTCTAAGCCTGATGGAAAAGCGTGTCGGTACAGTTCAGTGGTGCCTGAGCTTGTCTTGTGTCCACCCTCCGGTCAGAAATGAGATCAGAATGGGAACATTGCAGTAAAACCTACAGGAACACCCTGGGTCTGTGGAAAATTGGTCTCAGTCCAAACCTTAAGTGTCAGATTTGTCTGACTCCAGCTTCCAGCTTTGTGAGTGGGATCTTGATTGGAGGAATGCTTCAAAACTGCGTCTCCCTGCCTTTCTATGCAGCGTTTGATGTTCCCTATATTTAGCTCCGTGCTCTGGTGGGATATAACGCATTGTGCTCAGTGTTTGTTTGGGAAGTAAAGACATCTTGACGATGACTCCTGCCACTGGCGTGGAATTCCTGAGCCCCCCCCGGGGGAGGATGCTGGGTGGATGGAGGCTTTCATGTGAGAGAGGAAATTGTGGATAGAGACTTTAAGGTTGACTTTTGTGGATTGTGCATCTGGTGAGCAATTCCTCACCATCGCAGGTGGTGCAGACACAAAAGAAGTCGCACCTGTTTGCCGTTCAAATAGAAACTTTTGGTCCAATCAGCCGCGCGGCTCACGTCCAAGCATTTCCTGTCCTGCTTGCTTGTGTCTCTCTGCCGTCAGCTTTAATGTCACGGCGCTCCTCGTCTGGGGAAGTGTTTCTGACACTCATTCCTTTGGCCTGCGGTCAGCCGGGTGCTGTGGTCAGTGTCAGCCCTGACAGCAGACGCGCTGATAAGTTATATCAGCTTAACCTCTAGAGTGTGATTGAGGAAAACTCCTCTCTCTTTAGACAAGTATTCGGACCCTCCGCCAGACAAGTGGATGTTTGCATCATTCTCAAACATCTGTCATAGACTTTTAAGACACAGTCAGAAAAGGCCCCATTGTTTTGGTTCATACTCAAATATCTGAGAAACTGATCGGCCGTAACAAATTGCTGTAGGCAGTCATCACCGTGTCGTGAGTCCTAATTGCGATCGTTCTTCCAGAAATCAGGTTTGGTGGTGAAACGTTTTGTGAAGTTTCGTATTGATTCTCCTCCCCTTTGGAACACTAACACTCCCCCTCCGGGTTCATTTGAACAGCTAAAGTCAGGACCATCTTCAGGGCTTCAGGCCTTGATTGTAACCAAATATTTACAAATGGGATGCTGTGGAACGCTGACTCAGTGGAAATGTTGCCACAGGGCTCCAGCCGTGTTATCGGTAATATGAAACTGTGACACGTCAGCGTGAATTTAGAGTGTTATTGTCACAGGTTTCATTTCAATGCAGTCATTTGGAATCGGTTCAAAAACAATGACGGTTTCATAATGTTTGTACCAAAGATCACACTTATCTGAGCTGCACCCTTCAGGTTATAAACGTCTTCCATGTGTATGCTGATTATTGCTTAGCTATAGCCCATGCCTTGAAAAGTTTGAAAGCAAACTTTTAGTTTATCCCCCACGGAATACACTAAATTCTCTGGCTTGAAAAACTCCATAAAAAGAGGGACAAGCCTCCATTTTGTGCGTTTTCGC